CCTACTCCTATTTAAATGGTTGCTATTCCAATTATTTTACAAAAGAAAAATCTAATTGCAATAGCACCTACAGGATCTGGCAAAACTTGTGCTTTTGCATTACCTATAATACATAATTTAGAAAATCATAAAGAAGGAGGACCTAGATGTTTAGTATTTGCTCCTGCTTAAGAATTAGCTGATCAATTATACAAAGAATTCAATAAATTAAATAAGGAATTAAAAATTAAATAAATTTAAGAAATGAACAGAGAAAAGTAAGCTTTTAAATAAGCATGGAATCATATTGATATTCTTATAAGTTCTCCACTTAAGTTTCTAAAATTGCATAAAGTAATTGATTTAAGTACTATTGAATATGTAATTATGGATGAGGCTGATAAATATTTCGAATTAGGATTATTAGCATAAGTAAAATAATTATTAAGAATATTGGAATCATTACAAATTACTTATATGTTCTTTAGTGCTACTTTACCAGAACCTGTTGAAGATATTTATAGAGATTTATTAATAGACCCTATAAAAATTATGATAGGAGGAAGAAATCATGTTTTAAGTAAAATTGATTAACAATTAAGATATGTATCAAATGAATATGGAAAAATTTAAGAAATTAGAAATTTAATAAATGAAGGTTAAATGACACCACCAGTCTTAGTATTTGTTTAATCAAAAACAAGGGCTGAGGCTTTGATGTATGAAATAGAATAATTGAAAGTAATAAGAGTGAATTGTATACATGGAGATATGGAAAGTAAAGCAAGATAAGAAATTGTTGAATAATTTCATAAAGGTACAATATGGATGCTTATTTGTACTGATATGATGGCTAGAGGAATAGATTTTAAAGATGTTTAATTAGTTATTAATTATGATTTCCCATAATCAATGATTACTTATGTACATAGAGTAGGAAGAACAGGAAGAGCTGGAAAATAAGGGAAAGCCATTACATTATTTACAGATGAGGATAAATCTATGTTAAGATCATTAGCAAATGTATTAAAGGTTTCAGGATGTTAAGTACCTGAATGGTTATTTTAATTACCAAATGCAAAGAAACAACTCAAAAAAAAGAGAGAACGTTTCCCTGTTAAAAGAGAAAATATAGAAGATTAATGATGTATTTTTCATTTGTAAATTAAGTATATTAAGATATTTATCAAAAAATAAATAAGTATTTTTAAATTATTAAACAAAAAGAATCTAAATATTAAAAATTTCATAATGATTAAAAAATAGTATAAAATATAATATATTATCAAGTTAAACATACTTTTGTATCTAACCATCTTACTCTAGCTTAAACCATGGCATTATTACTTATACCACATTAATACAAAGTTTAGACTCTATCTTTTTAATTATTATATTAATGTCCATTTATAAAAAGATCAAGCGAAGCTTAAGATCTAAATAAACTATTTTAAAATACTGATTAATTTATAAATAATTTAAAATAGCTATTGCTACTTTTTCAATTTGAGTATGTGGACTAAAATAAAGTAGTAGTTATCTTATTATAACTCCTTCTAATATCTCAATATTTAGTAATATTTTTTGTTGATCATTTTATTGTAACTATTAATAAATAAAAAATTAAACTTAATTATATGATTAGAACAATTAATTACTATTATTATTAGTTTAATTAGTATTAAATATATCAAAACTAGTTTAAAATAGATTTTCAGTTTTAAAAATGCTATTTTATGTTGTTATAAGCAACATTTCACCATTTATTTAATTTATTTTAGAATTTAAATCAAGATATTAATTTTATTAATATGAATAACATGTCCATTAATTTATATCTCCTTCTAATCTAATGATAAAATTCTTATATATACTTATAATGATTTTTAATTGATTAAAATATTTACAAAATTTAGGTATTTAATTCTACTTCTATAAGAAATTGTATATTTTATCCAATTTATATTCGTTTCTGAATAATAATTTTATTTGTGAAGATGACTAAATTTTCCATTTCTATATCTCCAAGCATTTCATCTGGTTCCAGATATCGATTTTAGTTTTCCGAATAACATTCCCAATTCTAATAATTTTCATTTAATCTTTTGATAATAATTGGTAATTTACTAATATTAAATTCGAATATAATTTAATAATTCTTATACTTGAAATAAAGAGCTAGCCTTAAATTGACTAAAAATTTTTTAAGGTTGAATACTGATTGTAATTAATTTTTATTTTTCATATTACTTTTAGCAAATTACAATCAATATCTCATTAGCAATATTTCCAATTATATTATTACTATTTAATTATATATTTCTTTATTATGAATAACAAATCCACATATTCGTATTTCCTAATATTCTAATTTAATAAAATATATTACTTCTCTGATTGCTATAAATGTTCTAGCAATTCATTCACAGTTGTATTTGCTTCCATTTCAAAATTAAAAGTCTTGTTGTAAGGAAGTAAAACTACAGACTTTAATATATTCATAATTGAGGTAATTCTATTAAAAAATTAATAAGGATTATTCTTTTTTAAAATAAACTAAATACCTTAGTTTAATAATTATGAGAATTTCACATCTAAATTATTTTATACAAAAGATTAAGAAGGGTTATTTAATATATTAATATTTAATAAAATGGTAAAAGAATCAAAAAAAAGTAAAATAGCTTTTAAATGTAGAAATATATAGGACTGAAAATAAATTTGATACTTATATGACAAAAGATGCTTTTTGTAGTTTTATTTCAGATGAATTGATTAGTAAAGATGGATTAAAAGAAAATTATAAATTTCAGAATTTTAAAGTATTTTTTGGTTTGTTTATGATTGCTAATGTAATTTATTCACATTATCACTTCATTCCATATCCTTAAGATTACTATATATTGATTGCTTGCATTATATTGTAAATTTGATTATACACGTGTATTAGTTATTATATATCTACATACATTTATTAATGGTTTGAGAAAGTAAAAGAGGGTGATATTTTTATACTTTATGATGTAATAATATAAAATTAATAGTTAGGATAAGAAAGCAAACAAGACTTTTGGATTTGGAGCATCTTAAGAATTATATTAGAGATTCGTTGTATTAAGAATTTATAATATGCCAAATAAAGCATTAGTAAATAGAAAATGGTATATTTAATTTAGTTAGTTGAGCGTAAAATTGATAGTGCTGATTATCTTGATGTGAAAGGTTACATTGTTCAACCAAAGATGAGAAGTCTTATAAATGAGTTGTTATAAGAAGCTAATAAGAAATGATTATTTATTATTATTGTTATATTAATATTTATGTATATAGGAAAATAATAATAATATAATTAGAAAATAAATATTCATGACTATTATTATTCTAATTACTATTGATTTGGATCTTCTTGCTTAAGAATTTCATTTTCACCTAATTCTCTTCTTTTTTAATTGTATTTGTTAATATAACAATTCTAACATAATCCTTCTAATAGTTATTAAATAAATAAATATTACAAGCATATAATTTATCGTGTCCACAGATCCATGGTTTCTTTGTTCTACCATATTTGTGATAACAATTATTACACATACCCTTAGCATAATGTTCTTTTTCAGGGTGTCCACAATTATTGTTACGTTTACTTCTAAAACGATATTTACAAATAGATACATCTTTTTTGACTTTTGTACTACTTAAACTTATTATGTTTATGATTACTAAACAGTTTTCATTTATGATGCCATAAGCTAATTATATTAGAAGTATATGTACTAAATTAGAGAAAATAGTATTTTAAAGCAAATTAAGTTATTCATCTTTTTCCTTTGGTTATGGAATGGCATTCTTATTGTTGGACATCTGGAAATTGAGTCTAAATACTAATCTGGTTATGAATTGGTATACAATTAGCTCCTGCCAATAACTGGTTGATAATATTCATAAAGATTTGATGAAAAAATAATATTATTATTTCAAATCAATGTCACACTCTTAATTGGTACCATAAATCTAATAATAACGTATGATAACTACTTTATATCATCATATGAAACTAAGGCACTATCATTTTCACTCAATGCTCTTTTAAATATTATTAATCAATTACATTGACCCAATATGTATAGTTCTTGATGTATTTACATGAATTACTACATATTAATTTATATCTGGCTTTTACACATCTATATAACATCGAACTTGATTTTACTAATTTTATCATCCTATTAACTTTATTGTGATAAATTTTGGTTATCCAACTTTACTCCAAAGTTTCTCTAAGTTTTCTGATAATATTATAAACAATTTGTGAATAAATAATCTGCTTATTTTTCAACCAATGTTCTCAAGAAATCTTTCTCTTTCAAACTTATTTAATATTCTCCAATATTATTATAATAATAAAATGCATTCGAGATCAATTTCTACATTCTTGTTCTTAAATATTATTGATAAAAATATTAGATCCTCTCTAATTCAATTACATGTAATGTTAAATATTGAGTATCTCTTTATTTATTATGTTTAGATAAATCTTTCTTTAATTCTTAGATTGATTCCATTTACCCTTTTAGAGTATCCTATATTTTAGAAACATCAAAATATGGTAACAATTCAGGACTTAATATTTCTTATTAAACCCAATATATTAAATCAAATACATCTTGATTTATATCTCTTTATCCCAACTTACTATTATACTATAAATCATACCTATTATAAGGAATTAAAAGGTAAGTCTTATGTAGGAATAATCATAATTTTATTTTTAATTACAAATTATATTTTTATAAGAATTTCATCAAAAATATTAAATATTTCAATTATATATAAAGAAATATCATTAAATTTATGTTAGAATATATATCTTACTCTAATTATATTCATATATATATATATATTATATCTATAATTTTTATATATAAATAAATATTATTATCTATTTTATATTATTTATACATAATATTATTAAAACATATCCTACATTTATTTAAAAACAATATATTATGTAAAATTACTTAATGCAAGTTCAATAAATGCTTAATATACAAAAATTTCAAAAGATGTGGAATTATTGTAGTTAGTTTTATGAATTTGGAATACTCCATCCTACTTTAAATATTCTGTTAGGAATTGAATTTAGTGCACTTGCTTCAACTCCATCAAAATTTATCTAACTGCTATTATCAAAACATTTCTATTTATCTTAAAATTATCTAACTCCTAAGCAGACAAAGGAATTTGAAGATGTACTTTCAAAATGCGATTAGTTTGATCAAAGAAATATAGGGTATATTTTTAAATATATAAATTAATAGGACAGTTATAGGAATGATCTTGTTAGGAGCCATAGGATTTTTTGTATTTGGATTTGCTTTAGTAGGTGGTATTGGAGGAGGTGTATTAGGAGTAGTAGGAGGTCATTAAGTAGGAAAGAGAATAAAGAAGACTTTATAAAATAAATAGGATATAAAAGAGATAGATATTTATGATATAAGAATAAGAACTATTTTAAAATGGGCATAATTATAGAAAAAGAAATATTGTTATAATATTAATCTATAAAGATTTGTAATTGATAAAATCTTAACTGAAATTAAGATAGCTCTTCATTTTAAGTATTACTCAACAATCAATTAAACTTAACTTAAGAAATTACTGAAAAAGACTTTTATATTCCTTAATTAAGATTTATATTTATGTACAATAGAATTAAGTTTATTATTATTAGAAGAATAATTAAAGATTTTAAAGTATTTTAGTTTATAGGATTAAAATATTTCTTTAAATGAAGAGGAAATCAAATTGGTTAATCAATAAATTCATTATAGAAATTAACTAGAAATCTCTGTTTTAAAAGGCATAGATAATATTATAAAACCAGTAGTAACATTATTTCAAAATTAACTTCCTGAACATAAATTACCTTTAATAATTAAAAAGTCAAGATAGTTTATTTATTCAAATGAGATTGTTTAATTGTCTAAATAATTCCCTGATCCATAAATGAGTATCTATTATATAAAAATGCTGAGTTCATAATTAAATTAAAGTGTAAATACAACAAGTCTAAAATTATATGTTTAATAATAAAACTTTAGAAATTTAGAGAATGTTGGTTAAGATATTTAATGTATCATGAAAATATAGAATATATAAAAGGAAGATGAAATTTAAATAAATATTGAACAATTATAATTAGAAGTATAATAATCATTTAATGATATCATTTAAAATAATGAATAATAAGTAGAATCATAATAAATTATATTGCAAAAATCTTAAGATATTAAATTAAAATTACATTCTCACCCAAATAAAATCTATTTTTCTAAAATTGATCCTAAATGCAACTCTAATTCAACTCCATATTAATCTTATGAAGAAATTATTCATAATTAAGAAATATAAAACTAATTATCTAAATATCCATAACATTATTGTTAGTTATCAATTGAAAAATTTGAATTATTTTTAAAATTGATACATGAACCTACTGATAAATGGGATTTAGCAATAAATACTAAAGATGCATAAATATACAAAACCTTAAAGGAAGGCTCTGAAAATGTTTTTATCAAAGGCTTTGGTATTATTAAAAATGTAAATAATTATTTATTTAATCTTAATAGACTACTCTAGATTTAACATTAAAAGTAATTCATGATATCAAATTGAGAAAAGAATGGTAATTAATTATAAATAATTAAATAGGGATTAATTACTTAGAGATTTCCAAATTCTCAAAACTGAATCTTAAGATATTGATATATTGGCTTATTATGTACAACCTCCAATTAGTCTAATCACTCCAAGAGAATGGGTATAAAGGAGAATTTTGAGATATGATTTTCCAGAAAAAGGGTAGATCACTTTAATATTTTATTCTATTGATTATCCTCAACATCCAATCAATAGAAATAGAATTAGAGCACATACAGAAATATCATCTATGATATTTGAGGTTTATGAATAAAACAATGTAAAAATCTCAATTTGTTCTAATATTGATATTAAAGGATATATTCCTAAAATGATTGTTAATAAGGCAAGTACTAATGGACCTGTAGATTGGTTTAAGAGCTTATAAAGAGCTTGTAATAAATATAAATGATTTTTTCCCTTATTTATTGATAAATATATGTATATTTATAAAGATATACAAGAATGTTGAAAATTAAATAATTGACATAATTAAAATTTAATATTTGTCAATGACTAAGGCAGAGAAAGCAGCTATAATGTTTGGATTAGGATCTACAGCTCTTTTGGCTATATATTCAATTGTTAAACCAAGAATAAGTCAAGGATCTAATACTGAAAGTTTAATTTAAAGAAGAAATGCTATTCTCAATAAAGATAATATGAGAGTGCTATATAGTACAATGACTTTCTTCTATTTGCAGGGATATAAGAAAACAGGAGAAGACTTAGCATTATTAAAGGAAGTGTTGGATGTTGCTAAACCAAAATTAGTTGCATTATAAATATCAGAAAAGCAATTAGAAGATGAATATAGACCTATACTTAGGAATCCACATCTTTAGGAAATTATGAAAAAAGTAGATTATTATCTAAAAACAAATCCTGAAGAAGTGACAAAGATGAAAGAACTTGATTTCTATGCAGGATTAGAAAATATATATGCAATGCATTATTGTTAATAGAATAGCTGTAAAGTATAATATGTTGTAATTTTAGATAATACCAGCAGATGAACATCCTTCATTTTGTGATTAATTATATACTTAGAAAATTGGATTAAAAGAAGTCACAAAAAGTGGAAAGGTTGAAATACCAGAAAACTTGAAATAATTATATTAATCATATGATATGAGTGATTTAGAAAAGACAGAGGAAGATATTAAGGAAGATATTTATATAAAAAAAAGAGCAGATGTTTTTGTAGATAAAATTGTACATGAATTGACTCCAACATTTAATATAATTCCAGATGTTCCTTATAAAGTTTTAGTTGGAATTGTTGATCCTAAATTATAAAATATGATAGCTAAAGAATGGAAATAGAGATTTCTTAGCATTTATGGACATTAAATTTTAGAAGATGAATAACATAATCAATAATAATCATAGATTTAATGATTTATATCTTTATATTATTATAATCATTTATTTTAATTAACTAAATTAATGTAATAACTTTAGATCCACAATTAAGATGCTGATCCAACTTAACGCAAATTCCATAAGAATTAAGGATTCATATCTAAATTAAAAAAAATGCTTCTTGTATTTTCATTTCATTTAATTAGGATTAAAAGTTCAAGGATATCATATACATTCTTGAATCTAATGATGGATTCATTATAATGAATCTCCAATAGTTTATTAAACAAGTATTACCAGAATATTTTAAACAAATTAATTATTAGAGTTTTAGAAGGTTATAACAATTTTCTATTAATTTTAGGTAACTGAATTATTATGGATTTAAATGTTTAAATAAAGAGAAGAATAGTGTTGAATATGTTAATAAATAATTTAATATTCATTCAGAAACATAGATAAAGAAAATTATAAAATAAAATTCAGAAGCTAATGACTTTGAGACTTCATTTAATTAATTAGAAGAATTAAGATTAAATTAATTAATTTTGCATAAATAAATTGAAGAAATAAAAATATTATAAGAAAAAATTATGAAGAATACTTAAAATAACACAATAGTAATATTTCTCTAAATTTCATTAGAAATATTTACAATCTTAAATTAGAAGTGAATTTCGTAGGTAAGGTATGTAAAACTTTTGTGTAAGATTCTATAAAAGCATAAATAATCCATATTTTAGTATATTATTGTAATATTTAAGAACAATTTTTTGATAAGGACTTTTTAAATGCAGCTAAATAAACCTAATATGCTTATGAGGATGATTTCTTTATTAAGCATTTTTTTTAATATTAACCAAACCAATCCTGTTCTCATAATAAATAAGACAAAGATTATAATAATATGAAAGTTTCAATTTATTAATATTTTTAGATATAGAATGATGATGAAAACTAAATTGATGATAAATTAAGTATTAGTAATGTTAGTGCTTATTTTGATTTATGATTTATTTATATTATTTATTAATTAAAGGTAGTTAATATATTATCACAATTCTTTAATAATTAACGAAAATTATTTTAGGAATTATATTCTAACTAAATATCTTTGTGGATCTTTATACAATTTTAGCATATGTAATTTCAGATGAATGATTATAATTTTTTAGATGTATTTTAAGAGATCAACTAGAAAATTGTTATAAGTAAATAATAAAGAGAAGATTTTATATTCCATCTTAAACAATTCATATTAATTATTAAATAATTCTTATTAAAAAAAATGAATTATTTATATTATTTTTTTCTTTATGGTCCTAATAATAATGAAGCCTTAGAACAAATAAATTGAAATAGCTGTTGAAAATTAAGTTGTATTATCAGATTTATATATTTCTCTACAAAATCATTTTAAGTATATTATTGATATTTAAATAGTTTGTAAAATAATATTGAAGAATGGATCTGCTTTTCATATACAAGAAACAAAAAATTAAAATATGAAGATTATCTTGATGTTCATTTAGATCAATAATTGATAATTTTTACTTATTCATCAAAAAAGTTGATCTAGAATAAATCTAATTAAAATTAAGAAATCTCTTTATTTCTCAATATCGAATATAATTCTAGAGAAAGGACAATATAGCGGGTGTTTTAAAATACTGTTACTGTTCAAGATATAAAAGAATTAATTTTAGCAGATCACTCTCTATTATCCTAGTAATTATTTATTTCCTATTTATATTTTAGAAATTGCTAAGTAGATTTTAAATATTTGGGTTAGGCATTAAATTCTCCATCTTTAGATACTAAGACTATAAAATAGATGATGCTTCGTGATAATGCAACTCTTGATCTTAAAATAACTAGGAATTCCGAAGAAGAAAATAAAATGTTGGCTATTTTATAAAACATAAGTAAACAGTACAATTAAATATAATAAAATTTATAAAAACATTTTTAAAATATAATATAAAAGGTTGATGCAATTATAAGAAATACATTAGATTATATAAGTTAATTATTATAATAAATAGAAGCAAATATATGTTTAGCTCAAAATAATCTAAATTAATTAAACAATCCCAATTAAAGTAATAAAATATTCTATTATTAGTCTATAATATTGAAAATTAACTTAATAATATAAATATCTATGTGAAAAATATAGAAATTTTGAGTAATAAATACACTGAAAGAATTATTTTAGATTAACAATAAATATTATCTAGATATACTGATAAACAAATATTACTGTCCACTCCACTAAATACTACAATTAGAGATGTTATAAATTACTTAAAAACGGTTAATATTGTAATTAATTTATATAATTATAAAGAATTATGATTTTTAATAATGCTTTTCTAACAGTTAAATAAATTAAATAGATTTAGATGAGTAAATACAAAACTTTATTAATCATACATTATATATAGGTTTCTTGAAAATGGAAATCAATGAATTAGATGAAGATTAATATTAGTCAAAAGTTCAGGTATTCTATTGAATGTAAAAGTTAAATGTTTTTGATTTAAATTTTAATATTTTCAATTTTATAATTGATTTTCAATTATTAGTCTATTTTATTTAATAATCAGAATTTAATCTGAAATAATAAAAATATAAACTTAGACATTTTATATAATAATTTAAGATTTTTCAAGATTTACTTAAATAATAAAAATATATTATCATTAGATATGTTAATTATTCATCATTAATTTATAAATCTAATCTGCATCAACTAAGGAATAATGATAATCATCTTCATCAACTTCACTTTCACTAGGTTCTTTATCAAAAAATTTAGTGTATTAACAATGAAATAATTCTTTATCTAATTTGATTCTACCTCTTACTGTTTTAATCTTGTCCTTTTCTTTTTAATCTTAAGATAATATCATCTTTTTCTTCTTTTCAATAGCCTTCATTTATTTTTTGGCAACATATGGAGTTTTCTTTTTCAATTACCAACGATTTTCTGGTTTTTATAGTTCTTATTATTTAGCTTTTTCTTTTGTATCATTAAATTCTTTAACATTTACAATTAGATCTTCTTAATCATCTTTAGCTTAATTATACCAACTATAAAATTTATGATTTTAATCAGTGCTACATAATTTATAAATTTCACTATCTTTAATTTATATGATATCATCCTTTGTAAATTAATTTTTTGGTAAGAATTTATTAACTTTTACTTCTACTTATAATACATCTTCATCTTCAGTGTGTTCATCACTTGAAGCTTCTACTAAAGCACTATTCCAAGTTTTAATTTTAGTAGGTTTCTTATATTTTTATTTGATTTCCTCATTAATTTCAAATAGATCAGTAAAATCATCATTAGGTCTAATTTCATTAAGAGAGATAAGTATCATTGTGTCTATTGTAAATATATGAAATAATGCTTCTTAAAATCTTTCAACTGTTATAATTCTTAATACTTCTTGATTTAATAAATTTTAATCTAATTTATAATTATCAACCATAAAAGACATAACTTTAATTAATGTTTTACATCCTTTAATTAATGCTATAGCAGATTTATTTTTGACAAGTTTAACATCTTTACCATTTAATTCCATAATTCTTTTTTTAGTTATATCTCTAATCTAATCAATTTTTGGTTAATTATAATCAGATAAATTGGCTATACCTCTATTTAGATCACTTAATTTGAACCAAAATAATTAATAATATTTTGATGCCAAATATCCTTTGTCTCTTAATTATCCTTATTTTTCATAAGCTTTTCTTATCTCTTCCCAATTACAACTATATTTAACACACATTCTCCAATGTTAAGCCATTTCTTCTTAATTAAAGGGATCTCTATTTATTTTAGGATCTATAGCTTTCCATCTTGCATATATCATTGTTTATTAAGGTATATCAAAATCATATATTTATTTCATTTATCTAGCAATATCTGCCCAACGAGCTTCACCTACTGCTTCTACCATTTAAGCTAAAATTTAATCAAACTAAATTTATCATTATAAATACTCTTTCTGTGAATAAAGGATTACATCTTGGCATTTTTTTAAAATAAGAATTAATTCAATACCTAATAATTTTAGAGTTCTTTAAATATAAAATCATTTTAAAAATTAGTATCGAATCAAAATTAAAAGATTAAATATTAATTGATAAAATATTTATATAATAAAAATATTAAAAATAGTTTAATAAAAAAATATAAAATCTTTAATAATATAATAATATTCAACATAATAATTATTAAATCAATTTTCTTCCTTCATCACATAATAATTCATTTTCAGGATTGTTACAATCTTATGTTTTAATTCTATTAAGAGTTTGAATTACTGAATCTTTAAATTACATCAAAGTTGGATTGTTATTTTAAACCTATTTATAATAATGTATAAAATTACTTCTTTAATAAACATTAAATGAGTTTCTTAATTATCTTAATATTCATGTGGAAGAGAATCTAAAAATTTAGTCAAAAGTTATTCTTTTTAAGCAATATTACAATACATGGCTACTTTACCTAAGGTTGTCAAAGCAGTTTCATATGATGCCACTTTATCAACATGTTTGCAATCAGGTTATTCAATTATTGTTTAAGCTAATTCTATAATTTGAGTTGTATCTAAAGTTGGAAGTCTTTTTGCAATATTACCATAACCAAAAAGTAAATTTTATTTCATTTCTAGATCAGCTGTTTTTGAAAAAGTAGAATAACATTTTAATATTTCATTTTATGCTTATTAAAATACTGATTCATTACAAAGAGGTAAAACAATATTGAAAAATGCAATAGAATTAATAGTCTATGATTTAGTTGATTTTGTATTTAAAAATGAGTAATAAGTTGGCATCATAGTTTAAACAGATTCACATTTATGATTAGAAATTAATTCAGTTGCAATATTAGTAATGTGATCAAGTAATAAATCAATTTCTTCACAATCAGCTTCAAATTATTCTTCATCTTCATAAGTAATTGATTCTTTTGTTTTTACTATAGCAGCAAGAGCCTTATTGCAAGTCTAAAACATTGAATCAATAATAGTAGCATCTAAAATAGGTGCTTTAACTTAATTCAANAATTAAAACATAAGATTGTAACAATCTTGCATATATCATTGTTTATTAAGGTATATCAAAATCATATATTTATTTCATTTATCTAGCAATATCTGCCCAACGAGCTTCACCTACTGCTTCTACCATTTAAGCTAAAATTTAATCAAACTAAATTTATCATTATAAATACTCTTTCTGTGAATAAAGGATTACATCTTGGCATTTTTTTAAAATAAGAATTAATTCAATACCTAATAATTTTAGAGTTCTTTAAATATAAAATCATTTTAAAAATTAGTATCGAATCAAAATTAAAAGATTAAATATTAATTGATAAAATATTTATATAATAAAAATATTAAAAATAGTTTAATAAAAAAATATAAAATCTTTAATAATATAATAATATTCAACATAATAATTATTAAATCAATTTTCTTCCTTCATCACATAATAATTCATTTTCAGGATTGTTACAATCTTATGTTTTAATTCTATTAAGAGTTTGAATTACTGAATCTTTAAATTACATCAAAGTTGGATTGTTATTTTAAACCTATTTATAATAATGTATAAAATTACTTCTTTAATAAACATTAAATGAGTTTCTTAATTATCTTAATATTCATGTGGAAGAGAATCTAAAAATTTAGTCAAAAGTTATTCTTTTTAAGCAATATTACAATACATGGCTACTTTACCTAAGGTTGTCAAAGCAGTTTCATATGATGCCACTTTATCAACATGTTTGCAATCAGGTTATTCAATTATTGTTTAAGCTAATTCTATAATTTGAGTTGTATCTAAAGTTGGAAGTCTTTTTGCAATATTACCATAACCAAAAAGTAAATTTTATTTCATTTCTAGATCAGCTGTTTTTGAAAAAGTAGAATAACATTTTAATATTTCATTTTATGCTTATTAAAATACTGATTCATTACAAAGAGGTAAAACAATATTGAAAAATGCAATAGAATTAATAGTCTATGATTTAGTTGATTTTGTATTTAAAAATGAGTAATAAGTTGGCATCATAGTTTAAACAGATTCACATTTATGATTAGAAATTAATTCAGTTGCAATATTAGTAATGTGATCAAGTAATAAATCAATTTCTTCACAATCAGCTTCAAATTATTCTTCATCTTCATAAGTAATTGATTCTTTTGTTTTTACTATAGCAGCAAGAGCCTTATTGCAAGTCTAAAACATTGAATCAATAATAGTAGCATCTAAAATAGGTGCTTTAACTTAATTCAAACAATTAGCTAATACTTCTGCAATTTCAGCAGCTCTATCATAAGATTTACTATTTAAGAACACAGTGAATTCAGTAATGAGCATAGGAGTAACTTAAATAAGTACTTATGCCATATCTGTTTCAAGTGTACAAGCAGCTATTAAATATTCTGAACACTTAGCCATAGATTTTTAGATTTATGAACTGTGTTTATAATTAATGAATTCTTTCATTAACACTATTGTTTTAGTTATATATGGATAAAATGATTTACCACATTATTCAGCTAAATTAACAAGAGTATGAGCTCCTTCTACTTTTTATTCAAGAGCACTAGTATTAAGTGATAAGCTTTTCATTCCTAAGAATTTAAGATCTAACTTGACTTTAGTAATATTCTTTCCTTCAGCTTATGAATTGATTGAAAAACCAACATCTAATCTCATAGCTCTTTCAACTAATGGGAATATAGCATCTAAATATTAACCAAATTCACATCTTAAAGCTGTAGCTACTTAGGTATAGAAGAAGAATATTGATGTATGAGCAGGATCATCTGATTCCATTTTATTTTATTATTAAATAAAATGTGTAACTAATTAATTAGAATCAGTTTTGCATTATTCTTTTCTTGTTGTACTAATAGATACTAAGAAACAACCAATACATTCTAATAATAATGATTTTACTTCATTAACTGTAACTGTCTACATCATTTACATCATATATGGCATCATTTAATCATAATATTAAGTGAAATGTTCTTATAAACTTGTAGCTAAAGCACTGAATGCTGAAAGTGCTTATTCTAATATTTATTATTATTATTAATCTATTGAACCTGTTAAATTTGTTTGAATAACTGAGTATAATTATTCAATCAAAAAGGTTGATACTGGAGTCAATACATTCTTTGCTGCTTCCTTGTCTTCTACTAATTCTCTAGTAAAATCAACTAAACATGCAATAGAAATATATTGAATTTTTTATGAAATCTTTTGTTACATACAAGTAACTATCAATTATAAAATTTATGATCCATAATTAATTTAAATTTTTGGTGTAAATTCTTAACAAAGTGATGCTAAACATGTTAATAAATCATAAATAATCAATTTATTTTATGATTAAGATAATGGTAATATTAATTCCATAATGCTAGGTAATTCATTCTAGAAATGTTCTGCTGCTTTATCTGATAATGTTGCCATAGCTATCAAACCAGCATGTTATTCATTAATTACTGGTGATCTTAATGCTTACATAATAAGTGGAACAAAAATAGGTAACAAATATTTCACTCCCAAATCTCTAACCATTTTACCTAAACAATCTTCTGCAACACTTGATAAATCATTTAATTATAAACAATTATCATCAAAAGTATTTTCCCAATCTTTTCTATCTACTTCTGTTAACATCTTCATTATCATTAGAATAGAAGAGGTCTTGAATTGATCACTCTTTCTAATAAAAGCTGGGGCAATTTAACATAAAGTTTATAGACCATGAAGTGCTGACTTTTTTAATGATATAGTAGTTTAAGATCCCATTAATTATGTATAGATATTTAATAATTCTCCATATAGATTTTTCATAAACTTAGGATGATTTTCTAATAATTCATTAATTGATTATAAGGCTTGAACAGATGCTTCTTAATCAACTTACATTACTTATGCAAATTATTATAATAAAACTACTGCATTATTACTAAATCTATTCAATAATGATTCTTCTTCAATTGATACTAAGAAACTACTGATTCCTTAACAAGTTGCTGCTCTTACTTAAGGTGATTAGTCATTCAAAAATGCTGAAAATATTTCATTCAATTATTAACTGTGTTTAATTAATTATTCATCACATAATGCAAATTCACACATGATTTCTATGTAATACATTGTAGCTAACTTCTAATTTAAAGTTTAAGCACTTCTGCCTATCTCAAATAATAACATAATCATTTCATCATATTTTGTGAACTTTAGTAATCCTTTTACCGCCAAATCACACATTCTCTTAAGATGAGACAACTTATTTTCTTATTTCAATTCACTAACACAGAACTTTAATACAGCTTCAACATGACTCCATTCTAATTTACCAATATTCTCTTCATTTTCAAAGATTGTTTTAGATAACAATATGGATACAAATTCTGTGTCATCTTTGTTTTACATTGCTATCAAAAATTATTCAAGTATAGCTATTGGATTTGCTGCAACCTAAGTGTATAATTCTTATTCTGCTTATTATCTAATTGTGTTGTCTGTAGATCTAAGATTTGTGAACATGATTATTATTTTATAATTTCCCCGCAAACTAATTCTCTATTTAAATACAAAAAAATGCGCCAATTCAATATTTTAAAAAATATCTATTAATAATTTTAAAGTAATAATTAACTTAAGATCATTAAAAAAAAATTTGTGAATTAGAATATGAAATTGTGTTATTTAGTATTTTATTCTTCAACTATTTAAATATAAATAAAATTCTAGATCAAAATATAGTAATTCTCATACATTTATAAATTTATAATATTATCAAAATGAGATAATAAGTTTCTATTAAATTTTTGTTCAGAGATTTAATTTAAACAGAAATGTTGTACAATTTTTAATTTATTAAAAATTCCTTCCAATATTCTATTAAAAATTTATTTCTTTACTTAGTTCATTATTACATATTCATAATAAAATTATAATAAATTTATATCTAAATAAATGCCTTATAAATTACTATTAATGAATTTTGAAAAGTTCTAAAAAAATAACAGCTTCTTCTAAATTTACACAAAATATTTTATTTCATTATTAATAGGGAATTATTAATATTCATATTTTATTGATTTTTTTTAATATAAATAAAAAGATGAATATTTATAAATAACTGTTTCAAAATTATTTAGTTTACATTATATATTTTTTTTGAATGGTCATTTAATAAATTATAATTCTATTAGTTATTTAAAATAAATAATTATTCTTACTTCCTATTTGAAAGTATTAAAAAAAGAAAAATAATAAATAATCTAGTATAACGAGAATACTAAGAAAAATAAATTATTTATTTATAATTATTTTATTCTAATTATAATAAAATTATTTTTATCATGCTCCTTGCCATCTGATTTTAGCAATTATGGTTGTGTTATTTTTTATATTTGATTCTGAAAATGTTTAAAATCTCTTAATTTAATTATTATAAGGTTAATTAAATATAAATAGATCAACTGTTGCTACATCTCGATATGAATAATAAAATTATTTACTTAAAATGTTCTATTTAACAATACTATAATACTACTTACTCTACTTATTAAAGAATATCATTTGATTTGAAATTTATACTAACTTTATAATTAGCACCGCTATAATATATATCAATAATTAATTCAATGTCCTCTACCTTTTCAATTTAAGATTCTAAATCATGTCTTATTTTAATATAAATAGTCTCATCTTAATAATTCCCAATTTCCTCTAAAATATTCAACCATTTTTGCCTTGAAACAGAATAGCAAGTCCATTGTTTAAAACTTCCTTCAAGTCTATCTTTTTTATTTTAGAATTACTTTAAGTGTTATAGGATTTTTTGAAATAGTTCAAATACAGTAACAGTTGATTAAACCTCTACAATCAAATGGTGATTTAAAGGTAGAATAATTATTGTTTTTAGATTCGATTAAAGCATAATAATTATTTAAATATTCTCTATAATTATTTTATTCTAATTAAAATAAAATTATTTTTATCATCCTCCAATCCATCTAATTCTTGCTTCTATTGTTGTGTTATTCTTAATTTATAAGTCTGAAAATGATTTAAATCTTTTAATTTTATCGTTATAAGGTTAACCAAATATAAATAAATCAACTGCTGCTACATCTCTATATCAATTATATATTTATTTACTATTAATCTGATAATTAACAATAAGATAAAGTTGCTTAAGCTACTGATTAAATAACATCATTTGATTTAAAAATTGTCTAAAATTTCCTAATAATGCCGCTGTCTTTTATATCAATTTATATATTAATGTCCTCTATTTTTTCATTTTAAGATTCTAAATCAGATTTTATGTGAACATTAAAAATCTCATCCTAATAATTCCCAATTTCCTCTGAAATGTTCAACCATTTTTGCCTTGAAACAGAATAGCAAGTCCATTGTTTAAAACTTCCTTCAAATCTATCTTTTTTATTTTAGAATTACTTAAAGTGAATTTTTATGGATTCAAAAAGTTCAAACACAGTAGTAGTTGATTAAAGCTCTACCATCATATTGTGATTTAAAGGTAGAATAATTATTGTTTTTAGATTCGATTAAAACATAATAATTATTTAAATATTCTCTATAATTATTTTATTCTAATTATAATAAAATTATTTTTATCATGCTCCTTGCCATCTGATTTTAGCAATTATGGTTGTGTTATTTTTTATATTTAATTCTGAAAATGTTTAAAATCTCTTAATTTAATTATTATAAGGTTAATTAAATATAAATAGATCGACTGTTGCTACATCACTATATGAATAATAAAATTATTTACTTAAAATGTTCCATTTAAAAATACTTTAAAACTATTTACTCTACTAATTAAAGAATATCATTTGATTTGAAATTTATACTAAATTTATAATTAGCGCCGCTATAATATATATCAATAATTAATTCAATGTCCTCTACCTTTTCAATTTAAGATTCTAAATCATGTCTTATTTTAATATAAATAGTCTCATCTTAATAATTCCCAATTTCCTCTGAAATATTCAACCATTTTTGCCTTGAAACAGAATAGCAAGTCCATTGTTTAAAACTTCCTTCAAGTCTATCTTTTTAGTTTAGAATTACTTTAAGTGTTATTGGATGAATTCAAATAGTTCAAATAAAGTAGTAGTTGATTAAACCTCTACATTCAAATGGTGATTTAAAGGTAGAATAATTATTGTTTTTAGATTCCATGTCTCTACTTTTTAAATTTAAGATTCTAAATCATGTCTTATTTTAATATAAATAGTCTCATCTTAATAATTCCCAATTTCCTCTGAAATATTCAACCATTTTTGCCTTGAAACAGAATAGCAAGTCCATTGTTTAAAACTTCCTTCAAATCTATCTTTTTTAAATTTAGAATTACTATAACCATTATTGGATGCATTAAAATAGATCAAACACAGTAGTAGTTGATGAAAGATCTAGTATAATACTGCGATAAGAAGGTAGAATAATTATTTTTTTTTAATTCGATTAAAGCATAATATTTATTTAAATACTCTCGAAAATAAATAATTTTAATGATTTGAGATATATTTTGTTTGATGATATNCCTCTGAAATATTCAACCATTTTTGCCTTGAAACAGAATAGCAAGTCCATTGTTTAAAACTTCCTTCAAGTCTATCTTTTTAGTTTAGAATTACTTTAAGTGTTATTGGATGAATTCAAATAGTTCAAATAAAGTAGTAGTTGATTAAACCTCTACATTCAAATGGTGATTTAAAGGTAGAATAATTATTGTTTTTAGATTCCATGTCTCTACTTTTTAAATTTAAGATTCTAAATCATGTCTTATTTTAATATAAATAGTCTCATCTTAATAATTCCCAATTTCCTCTGAAATATTCAACCATTTTTGCCTTGAAACAGAATAGCAAGTCCATTGTTTAAAACTTCCTTCAAGTCTATCTTTTTAGTTTAGAATTACTTTAAGTGTTATTGGATGAATTCAAATAGTTCAAATAAAGTAGTAGTTGATTAAACCTCTACATTCAAATGGTGATTTAAAGGTAGAATAATTATTGTTTTTAGATTCCATGTCTCTACTTTTTAAATTTAAGATTCTAAATCATGTCTTATTTTAATATAAATAGTCTCATCTTAATAATTCCCAATTTCCTCTGAAATATTCAACCATTTTTGCCTTGAAACAGAATAGCAAGTCCATTGTTTAAAACTTCCTTCAAGTCTATCTTTTTAGTTTAGAATTACTTTAAGTGTTATTGGATGAATTCAAATAGTTCAAATAAAGTAGTAGTTGATTAAACCTCTACATTCAAATGGTGATTTAAAGGTAGAATAATTATTGTTTTTAGATTCCATGTCTCTACTTTTTAAATTTAAGATTCTAAATCATGTCTTATTTTAATATAAATAGTCTCATCTTAATAATTCCCAATTTCCTCTGAAATATTCAACCATTTTTGCCTTGAAACAGAATAGCAAGTCCATTGTTTAAAACTTCCTTCAAATCTATCTTTTTTAAATTTAGAATTACTATAACCATTATTGGATGCATTAAAATAGATCAAACACAGTAGTAGTTGATGAAAGATCTAGTATAATACTGCGATAAGAAGGTAGAATAATTATTTTTTTTTAATTCGATTAAAGCATAATATTTATTTAAATACTCTCGAAAATAAATAATTTTAATGATTTGAGATATATTTTGTTTGATGATATAATACATCTTAAGAAGTCTATGGAAACGATCAAATGAAAATATAAATAAAAATGAATTTAGTTTAAATTAAATTTAAAAAAGTTCCACAATATATTAAATAATTCTATTCACATAAAATATATTTGATCTAGTCAATAATTCTATATATTTTAATTTATTATATAAATGTTTATACAATTTATATTTGAGTATTATAAATCTCATTATTTTTATTCTCTTTCTTTAAATTTGGGTTTAATTGGTTTTTTAGGTCCAGATCTTTTGGAGATAGACTAAGAAATATATGAATATTTATACTTCCATAGCTTATTTTTTGAATTCTTCTTCTTGAAACCATCTCTACTTCATATCATTTTCTTCTTCATTAAATGAAAGTACATCATCTGGACATTCTTATCTAAATTATGAAGCTTATGAATAATAATTCATAATATTAGCATTTTCATAAGCAATAATATTGTTTAAATCATCAACTTAAGAAGATAATCCATGAACTTCTCCTTTTTCTAATTTTAACTGTTCTGCAATTAATCTAGCATATTCTTAAATTGCATCTAATCCTTTTTATTCCAATATTCCTAAAAAATGTACCATATTTTCCTCTGTAATAGCAGCAGATTCTAAAATAAATGATGAATAATTACTTAATTTTTTTATGGTTTCATCATCAACATCAATTGCTTAAAAAACTTCTTCTAAATATTTTTTAATTAAATTTATTGTTTCAATTGATTTTTCATATTATGCTTTGAGTATAACTTTCTTTTTCTCTTCTTATTAAATTTTATTTGATAATGCCATTTTTTATTCTCTTCTTTAATTATCATTAGTAGCTCCTTTTGTTGAATACATTTATATTTCTTCTTTTTTTTCTTCAATTTATCTTTCTAATTCTTCAACAGTTTCTTATAATTCTTTAACAAATTATGACATAATTTGATTATTCTAATATAATTCAATAAAAACTGTTAATAACTATTTACTTTCTCTTTCCTTTTTTTTATCATGAATACCTGTTTCTTATTTAATTCTTTCAAAAGCGTCCTTAATTTCCTATTCTTTAGATGCACTTAACATATATTCTTTATCAATTTAAGCATTAGATGCTGATTTTTATCTAATAATTTCTTAATTTTCTGCAATTTATTTTTCTAATTTATCTAAATATTCTTATTCTTTCTTTTTGCTTTAAATAAATGCTTTAAATTTCTTATCATGTTATATTTTCTCATTTAAAGATTCACATTCTTATTCAAACTCCTTTTTTTAAGCTTCTGCTTTTTTTTATAATTTAGTTAATTCTTCTTCTGCTTTATTTCTATAATAATATGCTTATCCTGCAGATTTAATTGTTTCCTCAACATTCTTTTTCTTATCCTCTAATTCTTTTTCTAAATTTTTTGATATTCTATAATAATTTAATATAATTTACTCTTCAACCATATTTTTCTCTTTTCTCAATTAATTGATTTTTTCTCTTAATTATTTATTATGGGCAACAATCTCATTCAATTTTTGATTAGCTTTTTCTAACTTATTTTCATGAACTGATATCTGATGCTGTTATGATTATAAGTTTTATTTAATAATTTATTATCCATTTTTTTCTTAACGATATTCCTCAATTTTTTAATCTTATTGTTCTTTTTATCTAGTTTAAGCTGCTTTGATTTATTCATCTAAATTTTTCTATATAAATATTATTTCTAATATTTACAGTTTCTGCTAATTCAGCTTCTATTTTTTGAATATATGTTTTCTCAACTGGAGATAAAACAAAATATTTTATTAATTACTATTCTTAATAAATATATAATACCACTAATTGATCACTACTCAATTATTTTACATCTTAATCTATCATCTATTTTATTTTCCCTAATAATTCTTAAAGCTCTTTTAATCTATCTTTGTCTAGTATAGTAGCTCCATAACGTTCCAATTCATTGAGTGGAGTTGTTTTAACTTCTTCAACAAGACATTCAATTGTTAGATATTTTGGACCTAATTGAAAGGCTTTCTGGATGTATTTCATGATGTTTTTGTTCATTGAAGACATCCTAATATTTGTCATTAGCAATACATTAAGATCTTTTTATATGTTCTTCTTTTTAATGACTCAATATCTGAAACTTTCTCACCACCTTTAGAAACATCAAATGACTTTTGAGTTTAATTCATTTATTATTTATATTCAATTATACAATACTAAATTTATTCATTAATTTAAACTTAAAATACATCTTTACATTCGAATGTGAGCTATTTTGCTGCTTGTCATTTATTATAAACATCTTCCAACTTCTTTTGTATTTTTATTTAATATTAAGCTAAGTTGTATTTTTTATATTAATCATGAACATCTTTCAGCATCATTTGATTATTCTTCTGAAATTTTTAGGGTAAACTTTCAGATAGATATGAATAAAATTTATAATGAATTGGTTGATTATTTAATTTAAATAAATTATAGATGAAAGCAAAGAAAACATAAAAATTTAGTCAAATTGATATAATATTATTATAAAAATTGAACTCATAAAAAGAAAAATATAAATCCTCAAAAAAGTATATACATACTCTGCATTAATATAATTTTATTCCAATCCCAGAATTGAAATTAAATATATTCGATCAAAATTCATTTAGTAAAAATGTGGATTATTCAAAAGTTTAAGCTTTTCAACGCTTAAATTCATAAAAGTAAAACTAATAAATCAAATCTTTTGTAAAAAAAGTCTCATTTATTTTTTTAACTGTAACAGCTTTAAAAATTTTTAGGTTAATCTATATAAAAAAAAATTACCTAAAAAACAACAAGTACAGTGACATCCTTATTTCATTCTCTTTTTAAGTTCTTATATTCATCTAATTAGAAAAATAAAAATCATTATTAATACTTAAATATAGATTTTTTGAAATATTTTGTAAGACTATATGTAGGATCTAGTGTAATAATAGATGAATAATTAAAATTTTTTCATTATAAATTGATGTTTTCGTTTTTGTTGATCTTCAATATTTAAACTGGAAAGTTTTTTCTATTATTAATTTGATGGGTTATTTAAAGATTAAAACTATACCCTTTCCAATTTATAAAGATAATTTAATTAATAATGTTTTTATCATTCATATTTTTTAATAAGCTTGTTAAATTCAATTCATTTTTAGATTTAATAGTGTTGTTTTATATAACAAATTTTTAAGAATAAAATTTATTGATTATGTTAAATAAAACAAATATCCTGATAAAAGAAGGATAATTTTCTTACTTTTGTCTATTATTTTTTCATTCCAGTTTTAATAATAAAAAAACAACAAAAATGTTACAGAATTAATAGGTTATATAATTATAATAAGAAGTTTTGAATCGAATTATAAAATAAATACAATCGTTCATTTATTTATTAGATATATTTTATTTTTCAATTTTGAATATAATATTAACAAAAAAACAATAGTAAATAAATAAAAAACAACTTTTACTACTAAGTTTGAAATGTATATTCACTTCATTAATATTAGAAATAATTTGTTATTTTTTTGGAAAATTTAGTAGAGATTAAATGATATAGAATTAATAATATAGATTATACAAAAGAATAAAATATCTATTTTATTTAATATTTAATTTAGATAACTTATTTTCTTATACTAATGGGATGTGGATCATCTAATGGTATTTAAGAACCTTCAAACAAAGGTATGAGCAATAGTCATCTTTAATTAAGTTACTAAGATAGAAGACACTAAATTTGCATATCAAGGATTCGTTACTGAGAAAAAAGGGAAAATAACTGCTGACTATAATTTAATTTAACCATGCCTTGGAAAAGGTATATATAAAAAATTATTACATCCAAGGTGCATTTGGTGAAGTTTACAGAGGAGTACATAAAGTTACAAATTAAGTTAGAGCAATTAAGTTGATAAGAAAGAAACTGATGACTGAAGAAGATTGTTTAATGTTAACAAGAGAAGTTGATATTTTAAAATAATTGGTATGAAAATAATTAATATGATTAGGATCATTTGAATATAATTTCAATTTATGAGTTCTATTAAGACTCTGAATATTTTTATATTGTTACAGAATTATGTCAAGGAGGTGAATTATTTGATCGAATAGTTTAAGAAAAAAATTTTTCAGAAAAAAAAGCTGCAGAAGTTATGAAATAGGTGTTAAGTGCTATAACATATTGTCATGAAAAAAATATTGTACATAGAGATTTGAAGCCTGAAAATATACTATATGAAACGAATAACACAGATTCTCTTATAAAAATAGCTGACTTTGGAACTAGTTAAAAGTTCAATCCAGATAAAAAAATGGATCAAAGAGTTGGCACTCCATATTATATAGCTCCAGAGGTACTTGATAGAAAGTACAATGAAAAATGTGATATTTGGTCATGTGGTGTAATTCTCTATATTATGTTATGTGGAGGTAATATAAATATGTTTTATGAAAGCTCCTCCATTTAATGGTGATGATGATTATTAAATTATGGAGTCAGTGAGAAAAGGAGTTTTCAAATTTAAGGAGTAAGAATGGAAAAAAATATCAAATGAGGCAAAGGATCTTGTTATGAAAATGATAGAGAAAGATACTAAAAAGAGAATTTCAGCAAAAGATGCCATGAATCATCTCTGGATTTAAACATATTGTTAAAAGAAAGAAGAAGATCTACCATCTCTTACTGAAGCTTTATAAAGAATCAAAGCATTTAGAGTAAATATATAAATTTATTAAATATATAGGTAGAAAAAAAACTGTAAGAAGCAGCACTTATGTTTATGGTTAATTTTATAGCTACGAAAGATGAGAAAAAAGACTTATTAAAGTAATTCTAGGCTTTAGATACAAATAATGATGGGAAATTAAGTAGAGAAGAATTAATAAATGGATACAAAAAGGTTATGAGTGATATAGATGCAGAAACATAGGTAGATGAAATAATGAAAAAAATAGATGCAGATGGAAGTGGTTCTATTGATTATTCAGGTATATAAATTAATTTAACTTATAGAGTTTGTTTATGCAACAATAAATAGAGAAAAACTATTGGCTACAGAAAGATTGCTTTAAGCCTTTAAAATTATAGATAAGGATAAGAGTGGGGCTATAACAAAGGATGAAATTAAGTTAGCTTTTGGTCAAAACTCTGGAATTAGTGAGGAGGTTTGGAAATAGATGATAGAGGAAGTAGATCAGAATTCTGATGGAAAAGTATTATTTTTTATTATATTAATTTAGTTAACATTTGAAGAGTTTAAATCCATGATGATGAGGATAACCTAAAATTAAAGTTGAAATCTTATAGTTCATAAATTTTTTATTATAATTCTTAATACAATCCAAGATATATAGAATGATAAATAAAAAATAACATAATCAAACACCATTTTCTATAACTATATTTCAGAATATCCTATCCATGCTATTAATTAATTAAACATTTTCATCTATTTCACTATTTAAACTTTAAGAATATAATTTATTTGTAATTATTTATGGGATTATATTTGTATTTTCTGGAGATTTAATGATATTATCAATTTTTATTTCCTTTTAACTTATTTATTCTTCTATTATTTAATCTTATGGCATTTTTTTAATTAGATTCTTAATTTAGTAAAAATCAATAGTTAGAACTCTTTGTGGGTATTTAAAATTTTCAATTAAATAACAATTTAAACATTTCTTCCTTTTAATATTAGTAATTTTTGATTTCAAATTCTTTAAAGCTTATTTAAGATAATTAGTGTTCTTCTCATCAAATTCATTTTAGATTTTTTACATCCAATTATGGCTGGAGAATTTATTACGTATTAATGTATCCATCTTTTCTCTCATTTATTTAATTGGTCGGAAAAACAAGTACATTCCTATCCAACTACATATTAGAAGAGCCATAGATGCTCCGACCAAATAAGAGATATTTTTGGCAAATGCTTATATAATTTCCATTTTTGTTTTTTCAGCCATCTCTATATTTTCCTTCTAAATTGTTACATTTTAAAATCTTAATATATAATGTTAAATACATGATAAGATAAAAATCGGATTTTAGGTTCAATACATGTAAGATAATATCTTCTTAGTATTTCGTATTAAATCTACAGAGATGATTAATTTATAAAGTACAATTATTAATGTATGGTTATCTTTAAGCAGAATATTACATTTATTACCAATCCTTTTCTGTAAAACCAGTCAAATTTTGTTGATATACATAATATATTTCTTAATCAAGTCTTATATCTTCAATAGAATTTGTACATATTATTTAACCAAGTAGATTTGTTATTAAAAAGACAAATTACTAAAAACGAAGATGATCTGCATATTGATTAAAACTCAGATCATAACCCATCACTGCTTATAAATCTCCTCTCTAATTTTTGTTTGATGGATTATTTTCAAACAAAGAATATGTTATTGTGAAACTGTATTAATTATTTCCATATGATTTATAGACATAAGATACAAAACCTTAACTATTTGAATTTTGAGATTATTCCATATGGTTTATGTACCAAGGTCTTACTTAAGGGTTGTAAGAAGGATAATCAAAGATAGGAGGATTAGAAGCAAATAAATAATTTTCATCAGTATTTGTCATATAAAGTTCTGAGATAGGAGTGTATGTAAAAGGAATAATTAGTTAATTAAGAAAGTTAAGGAAAGGATAAAATTGTCGATTATCTATCTTTCTGGTTTAATTTTTGTATGAAATGCAAAATTCAGGTAATTAAAATAATGTACTATATTATTCATGTAGCTGACCTTTATATATAGGACATTCCATAGGATAATTAAAGTTTTAAATTTATACTTAAGGCATAAAATTTTAGTATATTTTGCTAAAGCTGTTCATCATTTAAAATCTTTAAATCATGGGCCAGTTTACTTAATATTTCAACATTTCAGTTTAGAGTTCATACTATTAAAAGTTTTATTTAAACAACAATTTATCTGAAATTTCAGAGATGAGTGCATCCATCATTATACGATTAACAGCGAGAACAATTAAACAAAGCCCAATAACAATGCTTATTATAAGTAATTGTAGAAGTGAAGTCGCGGTCTTGAGAGATAGATATTTAAGACAATTGAGTAATTTGAACATTATTAATTTAATATTATGCATTTTTTGAAGAGTTGATAAAAAATAAAGAAAATTTTTAAATCTTAATTTTTTGCTTATAAAATATTGAAAAGTAATAAAATAATATTAAATTAGGCAATGTAGTAAGAATAATCAAGTCATTTAACAATAAATCACTTCTAATTGATAAAAGTTATAGGAAAAGGATCTTATGCAAAAGTGCTTTTAGTAAGAAAGAATGACACAGGAAAACTTTATGCTATAAAGGCCTTAAAGAAGAAGTATATTCAATAAAAGAGATAGGAGGTATGGAATTAGATTAAATTATATAGGAACATATAATGGTGGAGCGAAATGTTCTTGTTTCTGCAAATCATCAATTTATTATTAAATTGGCATTTTCATTTTAAAATGAGAGAAAACTATACTTTGTTTTAGAATATTGTCCTGGTGGAGAGTTATTCAATTTATTGTAGAAGAAAAAGAAACTGACAGAAGACTAGTAAGAACATTGATATTATTTAAAGATGCCGATTCTACGTCTGTTAAATGATATTGGCTATTGAATATTTGCATGAAAATAATATTATATATAGAGAGTAAGTGATGAATTATAAATTATAGTCTGAAACCAGAAAATGTGATATTAGATGCAGAAGGCTATATAAGAATTACAGATTTTGGATTATCCAAAAAGAATGTCAAATAAGATAAGGATGCATTTTCTGTATGTGGAACACCTGAATACTTGGCTCCTGAGATATTGATGAAATAAGGACATGGAAAACCAGTAGACTGGTGGACATTGGGTTGCATAATCTTTGAAATGATAACAGGAATGCCCCCTTATTATTCAAATTAAAGAGGAGAGTTATTTGAATAGATAAAGTTTTAATTTCCAAAATACCCAAATAATTTAAGTCCTGTTTTAAAAAATTTACTAGAGGGTTTATTCTAGAAACAACCAGAAAGTATATAATTAATAGAAATACTTAGAGCGATTGGGTTATAATGGAGCAATAGAAATAAAATCACATCCTTGGTTTGAGAAGGTCAACTGGGATTACATATTATAAAAGAAGGTAGAAGCACCATTTAAACCAAAGTTAACTAGTGAGGAAGACACTTCTCATTTTGATTCAGTAATTAATTCAAAAATTCTATAAAATAGGAATTCACAGAGTGTACCATTGCTTCTTTTGATACTGCAAGCTCAGAGGGTAGAATTTATTACGATTTTTCATATGGTGGTAGCATGATTAAGGAGTGAATATAAAATAAGAATAAAATCATAATTATTATTAAAAATGTAATTCAATTACACATTTTTGGAAAGTTTAAAAAAGGAATATAGGTTGATTTTAACAAAAATAGTTATGTCAGAAATTAAATGATTCCTCTTGCTCCTTCCAAAAATCTCTGTGTAAATAAATAGGCAAATCCTAAGAAAGAGAGTAGGAATAAAAAATGCATTGAGATACTTTGAATCAGATTTTCATAAAAGATTGGCACCAGAGCTTATGTATGAATTAAAAAATTATGGACATAAATATATGTATAGATTGATTCCAGATTATAAAATGAAAGCCTATCTATATGATAAGTATAAATCTAAGTAATCCTAAGATATCTATGCAAATGTAAATAAGCTAAGTTATCATGCATAAGATAATGAATAATCTCAATCATGAAGTAGCACAATTTCCACATGAATTAATTACTTATGTTGGTAGACTTAATATCATTATAATTCCGATAATGGTGTGTTTTTTAAAATTGGGCATAATATCACTTAACAATGAAATATTAAAGTGAAATGACTGAACATCAAAATTTAGTTATGAATAGTAGTCAGCCATAAGGATTGTTTCCTAGTCATCCTGATTCTCAAAGTAATCGTATGATGATTCCTAATTATTCTACTTAATCACATTATGAAAAACATTGGTAATACAATCAATAGATAAACGACATCAGGAAGTTATTGTTATATAGGAAATCAAGGTATTGTACATGAAACTACTCTAAAATTATTATATGCAGCTAGAAAATATCTCAAAACTGATTCATTAAATTTTGTAGTTTTTGTCTCTTCTGAATTGGGTGGAATGAGTGGAGCTGGCATAGGAAGAAATATATTTAATAGATTTATGATGTGATCAACATCTCTACATAATTCATTTAATGGAGTATATTATCTTGTTTAGCTATCATTTGGAAAAGCAAATATAATGATTGTTAAAGATCCAGAATAATTCAAGAAATTAGTATATAAATCATAAGTAGATGCAATTATAATGGATTATATTTAATTAATATATTATAGTAAATTGACAAAAAAGTTTATGCATTTTTGGGATTATGGAAATCATTTTTATTAGAAAGTAGAAGAGCTGATGTTAATTTTTGATCAGAAAATGATTATAAATTAATTCTTTATCCTAGTTATTTTTAGAATATTTTGGCAAATATTTTCAAATCTTGGTTTTAGACCTTTTAGATAGATTTGTAATAGTGGTCAATTGGAAGTTCTGAAATATATAGATAAGATAGCTGAATAAGTATTAATTGATTTAATTCCTAAATCTCCAAAGATTATAGCAGATTAAGTAAATGATAATTTGGAATGGATTAGAAAAGGCTGTAGAAAATAAATTTGTAATTGGATCATAAGTAGAAATGATATAATAATTTGATCATATATGGTTCAGGTAATTAAATTTATTTTAATATTTAGATGATACATCTAGAAGAGCTAAGATGATGTTGTAATGGGATGTCAATAATGGTATTAATAGAAGATTATTGTGTGGGAATTAGAATGCATTATTGAATTTAAAAAGATGAATGGAAATGGAACCATTTCTAAAATGTTACATGATGTAGTTGATAAATTAGAATTATGAATGTAAATTAAATTATTAAAAATATGTAATTATATCTGCCTCGATTTTTCATGAGTCAAATCTTCAGCAGATTTGTAAAACCTGTACCTCCAAAGAATGTGAATTAAAAGAAAAGAGCACTATAATTGGCTATCAAAGAAAAATAATAATAACTTGAATAAAGTGGATTATTAGATGAAAATCTGAAATAGGAAAGATTCACTCATACTACAAATTACAATTTTGAAACATATCTAAAATACACCAAGTTAGTAAAGGCAGAAAGAGAGAAAGAAATCTAAGTGATCTAACCAAAATAAAAACGTGTTGCAATTTATGATCGTCCAAAGTAAAATGAGTGCTAATTTAAATAGATTTGATTTATCATTGACTGATTATTATGTTTGGACATCATTTCATGATCCATATTATAAACCAGATGAATATTCAGAAATTGTGGTGTGCAAAATATATTTATCACCAAAAGGACTTATTCATGCCTTTGGTATGGGAATGGATCCATGGAGAAATAAATTAGCTACGAAAGAATTTGATTTTGAAGATTCAAATTTGGATAAGTTTTGCTTGTATTGATTCCTAAATTAATATTTCAAGGTATGATGCAAAATAAACCACAAAGTATTGGGGACCCAACAGATCAGAATAATTTTATAATAAATAGTAGTATTTGAAACCCATCTACAGAAAGAAGAGATGGCCTACATTTGAAGAATTTTGGAGTCAAGAAGAGAAAGCCCCATTTAGAGTAAATTGTACTAGATATGGAGATTTTAGAAAATTTAAAGAATGGATTTAATAAGAAGTAATAATCTTATAAAATAATATATAAGATTGAGAGATGCTCAAAATTACCTTCATTTGAAGAAAGAGTCTTGAAAAAGTATGGATAACCCGAATTCTATGATGATTATTCTAAGAATTATTAATGTAAAACAGAACCAGCAGTTTATAAATATACTAGAGAGTATTTCTTGGAAAAAGGATAGAAATTAGATTAATCTAATGTGTATGAAAACTTTGTGTATTATATAGTTTAAACATACCTTTGTAACCACCAGAACATTTAGGTGAAGAATATCGTGTACCAAATAAATGATAATAATATGTGGTTATTAATTTTTATATGAGAAAATAAATCATCAAAAATTCACCTATTAGATCCAAATAATCTAGTGTAAACAAATAGATTGCTAAGGATCCTAAATCAGAGATAAATATTAGAATTTTACATATGACAGATGAATAATATTAAGAGAAAATTAATAGTCTTGAATCTCGAATATCTGAACTTTAAGGTTCTGAAAATAAGACTAAGCGCAAAAGATTGTATCATGAACTAGCATAATTAAAAAAGAATGTGAAGTTGATTGGTATCAGAGTTAATCTAATGCAGATCCAAATTTGATTGAAGAGAAGCGTTAAAAAGATTTAGAGAGAAGAATTTAAAAGAAGTTAACTAAAAAGTAATAAGAAATTGAAGAAATACAAAAGGAAAAAAAGAAAATAAAAATGAAAGAGAAAGATAAAGTTTGTTTAGTATGCAAAAAGATTGGACATATTGCTTAACATTGTAGAGAAGTATATAATTATCAATTAGATTTTAGAATGTTTAAGTAACTGATAATGTTATTTGTTATAATTGTGGTTCTTAAAAACATACATTGAAAGATTGTTAAAAACCTAAGTCTGGTTCTTTGAAATTTGCAACATGTTTTATTTGTAAAGAGTCTGGTCACATAAGTAGAGATTGTCCTAAGAATCCTAAAGGATTATATGCTTATGGTGGTGGATGTTATATTTGCAATAGCACTCATCATACTTAAGCTAACTGTCCTTAGAATCCTAAGAATAGAATCATCTCATAATAATAATAAAAATAATAGGATGATTACATGAGTGATTGATCATATATATATTATTTAATAATCATGAATTTATCAACTTACAGTATTCGATCAAGAAGTAAACGGACATGGAGCAATTCTAGATATATTGATAACCATTATGACTCCAAATTACATTCCACACCATTTCTTCCTTGTGGATTAAAGTATGTGATATATACTAACTAGTGATTCTAAATAGATTGTATATAGTGATATTGGATTGAGTGAAGTTAGAACTAATTACACTAAACTTAAAAATTTCTAAGATCTAGAGCAAAGAAATATTTCAATAAAGGAAATTATGTCCAAATAAGGTAACTGGAGACCTTTTATTGAATTTTAAGATAAATCAGATGAAATGATTGTTACGATAGAATATTGGTAAATATAATCTTATATTTTAATAGCACTAATTGTAAAGAACATTAAAGATCAACTCGTCATAATGAAGAACAATATTTATCATATGCATTACTAATTAAGCAATCAATATTACTCAATTATCCAGATATTAAAGTATATCTGAAACCTTTAGTTTTTGATAATGAAAAAACCATTACTTCACTTTTCCTTTAGAGACGTATTGGTGCATTTGAAATCTAATTTTAATCAAATGGCTAATAATCATAATTATTTAGCAAGTTACAAACTAAATCTTGGCCAAATGTAAGTGATATTCTTAAAGCTATTCATTAATAATTCAGAAAAACTAATCTATTAATTTAATTAGTCTATAATGATGGAGATACAAACTTAAAAGGAATTAATGTAACTATGTAATCTTACTAAAATAAATAACTTGCATCAAGTTAACATTTACGTCCTTAAAGTAGATTGTCAGAAAATAGATCATGTAAATCTACTTCACTTCATAGATAAAGAGCTTTATCTTAATAAAGCAATATAGTAAGATATAGTGAGAAATCTGATTCATAAGGCAGAGTCTTATTCTTAAACATTCCAATAGATAGATATGAAATTCATATATAAGAGTCAACTAATAATTAATAATTCTATGAAGTAGTAACTTTGTAAGAATTAGTAAGAACTGATGGAGCATTTCATCAAATAAAATTATCAAAACCTTAATTAGCATTATTAAGAGTAGAAGTAGTTGGACCACATCAATAAACAGATGTGATGATTCCTTTTACTGATACTTAAGTAAATGTTATATAGAATTAGGAAAGAATGTTATTAAAGGAAATTTCTGATAGTTCAGGAATTTATGAAGGTTTTCTTGAACCTGGTAGATATACAATTATTGTTTATAAATATGGTTTTGAAACAGTTTAATAATTTATTGAATTAAGTGGTGGGAATAATAACATTAAAATTCAAATTACAACAAGAAGTGCTGAAATATCTACACTTCTTAATTAAAATACTAATTAAACTTTAATCAATTCAAGTTTCATTTCTAAAAAAAAGAAAACTATTAAACCACCATAATAAGTTAATTTAAAAATATTATCACTTCTTGAAGTTGGTTAAATGTATGTATTTGATTATTTTACAGAATAAATAATTAGTAAGGCTAAAATTATTATTACTGATTCTATTTCTAATAAAATAATTACTTGCACAACTAATACTTAAGGTAATGCTAAATTATTATTTAATTATTTAAATAAAGGATCTATTAAAGTAGAACATGAATAATATTATATACTTGAGATGTCTTATGGAATAAACGAAGAGATAGATTTAAAAAGTTCTAGAAATACATTTAAATTAATTAAAAAAACAAATAAATTGTCAATCATATCTGATAATAATATTGAAATTTATTAAAATGATTAAAAGATTCAAAAACAATAAAATCAATCAAACATATGTTTTTTTGAAATATCAAGTGATTGTCCTTAAATATTATATATTATCATAGAAAATTAGAAATTCTAAGATCTGCTTTTAAAGATTCTCTTATAAGAAGAAGTAATTAATTTAAAGTAACCTGATATCGATCTCATAACCTTTCCTTAATTTTGGATATTAGGAATATGTAGTAAAGTAGATTGTCAATTATTTATCATAAATGAAATTGTATCTCATTTAGAATTTAGAAATCTTTATGATGATTTAGAGAAACATAATTAAAATATAAATAAAGTATATTCTTCAGAATGTTATTAAACTTAATAAAAATTGATATGGAAGAATTAAGTTATTGATATTAGTAAATTATAAATTATTGATGTTCTTCCTAATTGTGATGAATAACCAATTATATTTACACATTAAAATGTAATTCTTGAAGGGAATTTAATATAATTAGGTTCTTTTTAATAAGAGTAATAATGTAATATAATATTGATGAATTAATAAATTATGTAATAATAGCCTTTTAAAAATAATAATTTATAAATTATAAAGGTATAAATAATTCATAAAGACATTTTTATTTATTTTGAAAATTGTGGATTTATTGCAATTTATGATTCTTCATTAAAATAAAAAGGATATGCAAAATTAGATTGTTATCATTGTTAAGATTTTGAAACAACTCAATTAGTTTCTGTTGGATAATCTCATTTAACATTATATTAATTATAGATAACTCCTATTAATGTGTTATTTTAAATAAAAAAATAAAGTGTTAATCACAATTAAGTGAGAATAAGTTATAATGATTAAGAATAATAAAATTTATTTTTTGGAAGAGAAGATGGAGTATTATCTATATATAATTATACTTTATAAGAAATAGATCATCTAAAATTATCTATGGATTCATTGTAATAAATATTACAACAAAAAAATTAAATTTTGGTTAGGGATAATTAAATAATATATTTACTTTAATAAGATGAAGAAAAAAAATATAATATCAAAAATTAAATATAGATATTTAAAAACTAAATGTATATATATTTTTTTTGATTTGTTAGTTTATATATGAATCCTCAAGAAAATTGTCTGTAAGTCTTAACAAATAGCCATATATTATATTATAATGATATTTCAACACATAGAAAATATCAATAAGAAATTGATCATTCAAGATTAATTCTTATTGGATCTACAAATTCATATGTGCCTAAATGTTGTTATAAAAGTAATTATATACTTGAATTTTAGATAGATAAGAAACTACATTAAAATTGGAAAATGATATATGGTATGTAGATTTATTGAATGAAAATTTTAGATTTGGGTTATAAATAAAAGGACATATTTAAGGGATTAAAGTATTATTATAAACAAAATATGGTGTTACAAATTTAGGAGATTATAAAATTAAGAGAAGTAAAGGTTTTTGGATGTTTGGATTCTTTATATTCAATAATGAAGAACATATTGTTCATATGATTGAAAATTAATTTTAAGATGAATAACAATTCTAATATGAAGTATTTTTAGAAAGTGAATATTCAACAATATAAGATGATAATCTATTTATTTATTCTACTTAAGAGGGTTTTTCAATTTTGAACACAATTACAACTAAGAAAATATAAGAATGTTATTTAGAAAGTAGTATTACTTTACTTAAGTTATGCAATAACATCTTAATAATTGGATTACAAAATGGAAAAGTATAATTTTATAAAAAGGAATCTTAATAAATATATTATAAATATTAAGAATTATAAATTAGTGATAAAAGTATTATTGATGCTTAGATTATGGAATCCTCTTTATTGATTTCCACTGAGGATAAAAAATTGATTATGCTTAGTATTTCTAATGAGTACAAAATTGAATATTAAGTAAACAATCATATTTGAATATTTAGGAAACCTTTGATAAATCATATATTAACAATATCATACTTTACAATAAGAATTAAATGTTAACAACTCAAGTAGATGGAAGATTAAGATTATGGAAGAGAGAGAGATAAGGATAATCTTTTTAATTAAGTTAAACTCGTACTGTTTAAGCAATGAAATTAATATCAAAAATATAATAAATTCCCTGGGAAACTTAAAATGTTTTAATTGGTGGTGATACTTTAATATTAATGAATGCTGAAAATGGAAAATAAATCAAATAATATACAAATAATAATATTCAGTAAAATAAAATAATATGTATATAATGTATTTGGAATAATATTATAATAAGTGGAAATTCTAATGGCTAAGTTATTAAATAGAATTAGTACTTTATTTATTAATATCTAATAGTGGAAATGGAGAATTACTATAAGTAATAGTGATTGAAGAAGGAGTCAAAAATCTCTTTGTAAACAACCAATATTTCTTAATCCATAGTAATAAGAAACTTTATGTATAATGAATAATTCTCAACATTTTTGACATTAATAAATCTATAGATTATATTTATTTTCTATAATTGTTTCTTGTCTTAATTTATTTTATTAATTATTCTAAATTAAATTCCAAATTCTGAACTATTCATAAAAGTTCATATATAAATTATATAGATTGATAAATTTTAAGAACAAGAGTTTATCAATAATTCTATGATTGATAAATATAAAATTGAGACTATTTTCATCTAAGTTTTTATAGTATCAAAATTAATACTTAGAATTTTTTCAATTCTAATATGAAGTCTAATCTAAAAAAATATAGAAACTAATATTTAATTATAGAAGAATTAGAATACTAAGACTATCTACAGCCTTGAATTATTNTACAACTAAGAAAATATAAGAATGTTATTTAGAAAGTAGTATTACTTTACTTAAGTTATGCAATAACATCTTAATAATTGGATTACAAAATGGAAAAGTATAATTTTATAAAAAGGAATCTTAATAAATATATTATAAATATTAAGAATTATAAATTAGTGATAAAAGTATTATTGATGCTTAGATTATGGAATCCTCTTTATTGATTTCCACTGAGGATAAAAAATTGATTATGCTTAGTATTTCTAATGAGTACAAAATTGAATATTAAGTAAACAATCATATTTGAATATTTAGGAAACCTTTGATAAATCATATATTAACAATATCATACTTTACAATAAGAATTAAATGTTAACAACTCAAGTAGATGGAAGATTAAGATTATGGAAGAGAGAGAGATAAGGATAATCTTTTTAATTAAGTTAAACTCGTACTGTTTAAGCAATGAAATTAATATCAAAAATATAATAAATTCCCTGGGAAACTTAAAATGTTTTAATTGGTGGTGATACTTTAATATTAATGAATGCTGAAAATGGAAAATAAATCAAATAATATACAAATAATAATATTCAGTAAAATAAAATAATATGTATATAATGTATTTGGAATAATATTATAATAAGTGGAAATTCTAATGGCTAAGTTATTAAATAGAATTAGTACTTTATTTATTAATATCTAATAGTGGAAATGGAGAATTACTATAAGTAATAGTGATTGAAGAAGGAGTCAAAAATCTCTTTGTAAACAACCAATATTTCTTAATCCATAGTAATAAGAAACTTTATGTATAATGAATAATTCTCAACATTTTTGACATTAATAAATCTATAGATTATATTTATTTTCTATAATTGTTTCTTGTCTTAATTTATTTTATTAATTATTCTAAATTAAATTCCAAATTCTGAACTATTCATAAAAGTTCATATATAAATTATATAGATTGATAAATTTTAAGAACAAGAGTTTATCAATAATTCTATGATTGATAAATATAAAATTGAGACTATTTTCATCTAAGTTTTTATAGTATCAAAATTAATACTTAGAATTTTTTCAATTCTAATATGAAGTCTAATCTAAAAAAATATAGAAACTAATATTTAATTATAGAAGAATTAGAATACTAAGACTATCTACAGCCTTGAATTATAGTTTAATCCTTATTTCTTATTGTATATTAGAATTGATTTACAACTGAGATTTCAGGCTGTTTTTAATATTAATATTATATTAAATTTTTCAGAAAATGAATAATGACTTTATAGATAAAGAAATATATGAAAAGGAAGTAATACAAATAGACCCTCTTATCTAATAAGATAAATGTATTATAGAGGTCAGAAATGTTCATAAAACTTACTTATTAGGATTAGAGGGTGTTACTGCATTAAGAGGTTCAATGATATCAATATAATTTTAGGTGTATCCTTTAATGTGCAAGAAGGAGAATTCATAACCATCTTAGGTACTTCTGGATGTGGCAAGACAACTCTACTTAATTTATTAGGTAGTATAGATTTACCAACAAAAGTAAAATCTATTATCCTAATCTAAAATAGGGTGATGTTAGAATTTGTGGTCAAAGAATTAGGGCATCTACAGAAGATAAATTTCTTGCCTCACTTAGATTATCTTCTTTGGGATTTGTTTTCCAAACTTTCAATTTAATTTCATCATTGACAGCTTTAGAGAATGTAGAATTGCCTATGATTCTAAAAGGGACATTGAGTAAAGATCAAATTAGAGAAAATGCGCAATAATTATTAGATTAAGTTGGTTTAGGTGGTCGATTGAATCATTACCCAAATTAATTATCAGGAGGAGGTACAATTAATATTTAGTTTTAGAATAATAAAGAGTTACAATAGCAAGAGCATTGGCTAATAATCCATCTATTTTATTATTGGATGAGCCAACAGGAGATCTTGATACAAAGAATTCAGATTTAATTATGAAAATTATTATTGATTTGAATGTTTAAAAGGGTATTACAATAATAATGGTTACACATGATACTAATTTAAAAAACTATTCTACAAGAACAATTAGAATGCTTGATGGTAAAGTGGCTAATGATGAAGTAATATTACTGAACTATTTTAATTTAGAAAAATAATGAGGATAATAGAATTAAACACATTGACGATTTGACAAGAGTAGTTAAATAATATTAAGACATCAATTATGGTGTTCGTGCAGGAACTGTTGAAGAAAATAGACAAAAGTATTATTAATTAACTAAACTGATAGTACATCTAAAACTGAAAAGAGATAACCTAGAAATTACAAAGTTTTAAATCATCTCTATCATCCAAATTAATTATTAGATAATAAATAAGAATTACCTCAATTAATTTAGTAATACAATACACCAATACAAAAATCGAATCCAAATCTATTAATCTAAAACAAAGATTCGATATAAGAATGAAATTTTAGTTTTAGTATATTTTATATTAAACTCTAGATTTATATTAAATATTTAAAATAATTATTATTTTTCTTAAATATTAAAATTCTCTTTTTTGTATTCTTTTTTCCTATTTATTAATGAACATTAAGAATATTATCTTGAAATTTTCAATTTACATCAAAATTTACATATATTTAAATTTGAAAAACCCTATAAGACAGTAAAATGAAGAAGAATAGATAAAAATCAAATAGATATATACATAATTATTATAAAAATAAATAATCGATTTATGAAATCGAAAGTAAATCAAAATGTACCTTTTAATAATGTATCACTTAATAGATAATTTATTATATACATATATTACTAATATAAAACTTGCATTAAGAATTTTAAATTAATTTATATTTTTATAACCTTAGATAAAATAAAGCTTTAATATAATAAATTCAATTTAAATTAAAAAAAAATAGTCTATAAAATTAAGAAATACATAAATTGATTAAATAAAGTCCTTATAGAATTCATAAGATCCTTCTAAATTATCTACAAATTATTCAACATTTGAGAAATTGATTGGCTTATAAATATACAATCATTATAAAGAAAACATTTGAAAATTAAAATAAAGATGAAAGAATTCAAAAGAAGTAAGATAGCTTTTTTAAATTTCTCAAAGATTTCTAAATTTTTTTCCCTCAATTAACAATCAAGTTTATATATTAAATCACAGAAGGACTTTAGAGATAAGATGATTTACTTATAATAATTTTTTCCCTAAGAAGTAAGGGTAAACTACTATCAATTTTAACCTTTTGATGTTGAGTATAATATTTTTTAATTTCCGTATAATATATATCAAAAGGTGTTCAAGATAAAAATCGAGAGAAAAATAAATTTAAAACTAACTATCAAGAATTATAAGAATTTGGTTCTACAATTTATAATAATGGAGGATATAAATATTTTGAAATTATTTGTTTACTTTTGTGTATTTCATGATTTCAGTTATTAATTATTACTGATATTATTAATATTTGTATATGAAACAGAAGAAAGTTAAATAGAGTATATGAAATATTATTATTTTAAGTATATTAATTAATTTCTACATGATATTTATAAAGTTAATTAGAAAAGTTGTAAATAAATATATTAATATTTCAAATTATTTTAATGATTAGAAAATTTATAAAAAAAGTTGATTTGCTTGTTGATCCTTATGAATTTAATATTTCATAAAAAGAGAAATCTTTAACTCCATTAGGTTTTATATTAAATAACTTTTAGGAGGATTTATTAGTATTGTTCTATTAGTTTTTGCTTCTTTTTATATTGTTGGAGTATTCCAGAAAAGTATTCAAAATTAGAACACTATATATGCTGGTACATAAAGTGACTAAAACTAAGAATTTGTATTGAGTCATGATAATACAATATTTTCCATTGAATTATCAACTCTTGATGGAAAAATCTTAAACGATAATACAAATGTTAATGAGTAAATTATAATATATCATTTTAGTTATTTTTCATTAACTGCATAGTATATTCAATAATAAAGAATAGAAGGTAAAATAGGATTTACTAGAAATTATACTGCATTAAACTAATCAAAATGTTCAAAAGAAAAAGTCAAACAATTTAATTTTAATTCAGCATCAATGACTGAAGAATAAAAAGAAAATTTAATTTGTTTTGATGGGAATTTCACATTATAAGGACAATTCTATGAACCATATTTTGCTTATGTAAAATTAACTGTCAGTGTATGTAACAATTCAACTAAAAAAACATGTAAAACTTCCAAGGAAATAGAAAGTTTCATTAATAAAGGGTATTAAAGTTAAATAATTAAGTGTTAATGTGGATATGTTTATCAAAGGATCAAAAATTAAACAATCATTAAATAGTTCTAGTCCTGCAGACCTGTTTTCTACTAATATATTTTGGAGATTAACAACTGGAATTGGAGATAATGAAGATATATATATGTAACCATTGTAAATGGACTTAAGTAAAATACATTTAAATAAATTAGAAAAAATATAATTTTTCAGTGATATTTTTAATATTGAGAATTCTGAAAGATTGTATAATGGATCTGTTGTTGAAAGGTAAGAAAGAAGACAAGAACCTATATCAATTTCTTCAGGAATAGGATTATGCACATTTTATCTAAGGTATTAAGTTTAAAAAATTTAGAGCTTCTTCTGATAGCTCATTTTATTTTGTTATGTAATAAGACTTGCCTTCTACTATATTATCTGCAGTCTCTGAAACTACTGCTTTATTTTTAGCTGTTATGCAAATAATCAAGATATTTTATAGAGTTTATAATCAACATAAGACTTTTGAAATATTAATGAATTCTGTTTTTAAATTTGATTTAAAAAGTGTATAAAAGAGGAAATTATCATAAGTTAACTAATCATAAACACCTGGTAAGGTGTAATAATCGGAAAAGAATTCAAAAAAACAATTACAATAGGTAATTTTTTGCATTTTTATTAAGATATTTGATTATACTATAAAATATTCATTTTATTAATATGTACTTTACATTATTAGAAGATACTTCAAAAGCTGTAAAAAAATTGAAGATAAAAAAGAATTAGTAATTTCGTAAATAGCTAAATCTAAGATAGAATTCGATTTAGATTTAACTAATATTTAAAAAAAATTATATGAGATAGATTGCTTAAAGTTATTTTTTTTTGATGATGATTAACTTATGTTATTCAATTCATTTTGTTCACCTGTATTTTAGGATTAAATGACTGATCAGAAAGAATTGTTCGATATTTTGACTGCAAGTTATAAATAGACTAAATCAATAAATCAATTATAATAATAAAATTAAGCTAACATTGATAATAATAATTAAAATATTATCAAATATGCAGCTACTTCAGAAAGTATTTTAGTATTATAATATTTTTAGTACCAATCAATATTAGATTAGCAAAACTTACAAGGTTTTTTAAAGCTTAACTTGGAGCAGAAAATGCTGAAGAATTAGTTGACAATTTTTAAAAGATTAATGAAAATAAGAATAAAAATTGTTAATTAAATGATTAATTAATACAATTTGCTAAATAAAATAAAAGCTTATTTAATCTTGTTTAATAAAATTACTCAGCAATTTTACATTAGTAAAATGAAGAAGAGTAGAGATACTTAGAAGATCAGATTATATTAGATGTACCTAATGAATTAGAATATGGAAGAAAAAACTCTGAAATTGTTGGTAGCAAGGATTAAGGGTCAAGTTTAAAAGATCTACATATTCAACAATCTCCAGATTGTTTTTAGTAGAGACTTTAATAAAATTGATTGGTATTTGATATTTATAAGATCAATTTATAATTTATCATATCATTTTTTAATTTTTGTTAAAAGATATTTAGCTAAAACAATTAATGAGCCATCTGCTTAACAAATATCTTCCATAATAGATTAAGGTAAAAGTTCATTAGTTACATGATATATAGCATCATCTCTTAGTACATTTTGTCTTTCTTTTTCTAAATAATATAAAGATTCATCTAGTAATGATTCAAAAACATTTGATAAATAAGATTTTACACTAAATTTAAAGGCATTAACTTTAAAATCATCACTAAATTATATGAATAATTTTTACCAATCATAATAATCAGGATGATCAGGATCTAGATCTTTACTCTTATATTCAATGGCTCTTTTTCTTAAATATGCATCTCTATTTTCTTAACATTTAATTTCTGCAATTCCTATGAATCTTTATTATTTGATAATTATACTTCTTATGATCAGCATTATTTATTTAAAATTAAATGCTTAATAATGATTTTTGAATTGATTATAAAAATAGTTCTTTTGTTTATACATCCCAAACTTCTTTTGGATCTTCTTAAAATCCTATATGTGATAATTCATGTTTTTATTATGATAAATATCTAAGTGCTTTATTACCAAGAATTCCAAAATCTACTTCTTCTAAAAAATGCAATTATTCCATTAAAATACTAATAAAAATAGATATATACTTACTTTGTACTATGACCTAGATTACAATTAGTTAGAATTAATTTCTTTAATTTACTATTAGGAATTGCTTTACCTAATTCTAAACCTCCAATATATGAAATTTTAGTGTCACTTAAAATTAATGATGAAATTGGAAGTTTTTAAATCAAAACTGATAATCTAATAACAGTCTAATGAAAATTATTAGATTAATATATAATACTTGATCACTAATATTTTATTTAGTAAAATCAATTTCCCCATTAAATTATACATTTTCTAGATCCTTTAATAAACCTTCTAAATCTTAATCATTTAATTTTAAATCTAATTCATCTATTTTTTTATCTGTTTATTCTATTTTTTAATCTTCTTATTCAATTTTTTATTCTTGTTCAATCTATAACTGCTATTCAATATATTTATCAAAATTAAAATCTATGCATCTTAAATCATCACCATTTTCATCAGGTATCTATAATCCTTATTATAAAAATATTCTATATCTTGCTATTTTACCAAGCAGTTATTCTTTCATGTTAATTATTTTATTTATTTATGAATCCTTAAAAAGTAAAAAATGGTCCTAATTTTATGTAATAAGTCAATAAGAAAAAACATGTAGATTGTGCTTTGAGTTCTAATTCTGAATCATCAGATGATGAAGTAGATGAAATAATTGCAATCAAAAAAGATGTACAAAAACAAGTAATCATTCCTAAAAAATATTAGAGATTCTCAGTTTCTGCTGAAGCTTATGGATAATTTAATAAAAAAGAGAATTTTAAAGCTAAATTTATTCCTAAAACTAAGGAACAATCTGAAAGAATTAAATAAAGAATGCAAGCAGGATTCATGTTTAGTGCATTAAATAATAAAGAAATTGAAATTGTTGTTGGAGCTATGGAAGAAAAGATCTTTCATAAAGCAGAATATGTAATTAAATAAGGAGAAGAAGGAAATGTACTTTATGTTGTTGATACAGGAGAATTAGATTGTTTTAAGAATTATGGTAAAGGAGATATTTTTCTTAAAACATATTATCCAGGAGAGAGTTTTGGTGAACTAGCATTATTATTTTAATCTCCAAGAGTATCTTAATATATTCAATTATTTAGGCTGCATCTATTATTGTAAAAAGTGATAAAGCTATTCTTTGGTAATTAGATAGAGAAACATTTAATTTAATTGTAAAAGAAGCATCTATCAAAAAGAGATAATAATTTGAAACGTATTCTTAATATTTTTATCTATTTTTTAGATTTCTTGAAAATTGGGATTTATTAAAAGAAATTAAAGATCCTTATGATAAATTAAAAATGAGTGATGCATTATTTGAAAAGTAATATAAAAAAGGAGATGTAATTCTTTAATAAGGATAAAAAAGCAATGAAATATTTATTTTAGAATAAGGAAAAGTGAGTGTAAATAAAAATAATTGTAATTTTTTTATTTTATCATAGAAAAATTGTTTGAATTAATTAAATTTGGGGAATACTTTGGAGATCAAAGTATTGTATCTGGTACAGTTGAATCTTTTACTTATGTGGCAGAAGACGAAATTAAATTAATGTACATACCTAAGAAAAGTTATTCATCAACTCTCAAAGAAATAGAAGGTACTTTAATGAAGAATATTTAAACTAAGTATGGAAAATATTTATGATATTCTATATTAAAGTAATAAAATCTTTTGATTTATTTATTTAATTCTACAATTTTAATTAAGATTTTACAATCATATAGAATTTTACTAAAAATTGAAATTTTAATAATAATTTAATAAAAATGTTATTTAGTTTTTTATCATTAATAATATCAAAAAAGACTTAATGAAAATATTACAATTTAATACTAATAATATAAATATAATCTAAAAAATGAATGTATAGATAAATATAATATCTAATTGATGGAACTAAGTAAGAAACTCAATTGATAACTAAATTAAAAAAAAAATTAATCGAAGTTAAAAATTCAAATATTTATAATATACAATTTGACATCTAATATTTAATTTTGTAAATAATAAACTATATAATTATATATATTTTAATAATTTTCTTGTTCTTTAGTATTTTTGATTTATTAATTAATTGAAAAAGATTAAAATAAATTTTGTTTTAAATGGGATGGGTAACTTATATATGGATTCTTATAACAATTGATTATTAATATTAACTTTAAGTAGTTCGTATCAAATTAAAAAATTCATATTCTGTAATATGGATAGTAAAATGATATTAAAAATACAATTCAATCATAATTTAATGTAAAGTTTGAAAGAAGGTCATAGGAATTTTTCTACATAAGTTTCACAATCAACAGATACAAATGATATTGGAGGAATTGAGGATTCTATCTTATTAGAAAGCATAAAATTAGCATATAAGGATATTTTCGCATAATCATCCTTTTCATAACTAAAAAACTATTAATTCTAAAATGATATTGTAACAGGAGAAGTATGAATTGTAATTATATTTAAAGCCAACATAAATACTTTCCTGTGCATTCGATAATACAGCCTAATTTTTAGCTTCATCTAATTCAGATGGTCTTGTAAATATTGCTTATTTGGGGAAAGATTATACAATTGTTTCATTATAAGATCCTAAATAGAAACCAGGTCCAGCTACATGTGTTAAATGGAGACCTAGTTAAGTTACAGAACATTTAAAGAACACTCTATTATCAACATATACTAATGGAAGTATTATATATTGGCATGCAACATCAAAATAATCCTTATTTAATATAGAAGATAAAGATAATCAAATTAATTGTTGTGAGTTCTCTTTAGATGGTGATAAGTTTGTAATAGGTGGTTCTGATTGTCATGTTAAACTTTATGATTGTGGAAAATTGAGTAAGACTCCTACAACTTTTATTGAAGGATAATCAGCTGTTCATTAGAATAGAATATTTGGTATGAAATTTAATTAGGGTGATCATAATCAACTTTATACAGGAGGATGGGATAAAATGGTGATTTAATGGGATTTGAGATAAAAGAAATCAACTGGTTATATCTTTGGTCCTTGTGTTTATGGAGATTCTATGGATTCAAAAGGATTTTAATTGATTACTGGATCATATAGAGATGAAAAATAATTAGAAATTTGGGATACAAGAACTTTACATAAATTATAGACTATTAATTGGATTGAGTATGGAAATAATGTTTAAGGATTATTACCAAAATAGAATGTTAGTAAATTATATGCATGTAAATTTGATAAAAGAACTAATTTTATTTATGCTGCAAATGCTGGAAGGTAATCAATAATAATTATTTAAGTGTATTTTCTGAAATAAGACAATTTGATTTTTAATATAGATGTGTTGATACATATTGTTGTTCATTAAGTGGTGTAATGACAATAGATCATAATTAAAATTATAATAAACTTAGTTATGGAACTTAAGATGGAAAATTAGGTGTACTGAATATAGTAAATTGATATTAGTACAAATATTTATAAGAATATTAAAAGTTTCATTTAATTATATTCATAAATAACAATAATAATGTTTGTCAAATAGACAAAATAAATATTTTCAAAAATGCAGTATCTTGTCTATAATATTATTTCTGTACTTATTGCTTGTCTTTTATTTGTTCTAATTTTGGATTTAAATTATTTGCAATTGATAATTATATTTATTGCTATTTCTTTCTTTCATTATGGTTTTTTACTATTGTTTCATCATTTATTTAATTATTTCTTTAAAACTTATTATACATAATCAATATCATAGAAAGAGTTTGATGTATTTCAGGAATAATAATTTATTATATGAGAAATTTATTAAAGAGAGCTGATATGCTTGTAACTCCTTATGAATTCAATGTCAATTAAAGGCAAAAATCATTAACAGTAATTGGTATATATAATTTGTTATTCAAGGTGGAGTACTTACAATATTAGTTGGAATATTTAGTATATTTTATATGGCTGGAGTCATTTAAAAAGCACTTTCAGATTAAGAAACTGTCTATGTTGGTACATAGAATACAATATTGAATTAAACATATATTAATAGCAATAACACTATATTTGCATTAGAGGTTTCTGATTATAATGGAAATATATTTGAAAACATTTCAGAAATTTAATAGTATATTAAGTTAATATTAGATATATTCAAATAAATGTTTAGTATGTAGAATAAAAGAGAGATGCTTCTAAAGTAGGATATGAAAGAAATTCAACTAATTTAATATTGAAAAAGTGTGAAACTACCACAGTTGAAAAATTTAATTTTGATGTAATAACTATCTCAAATTCCTAAAAATCAAATCTTTATTGTGCAGATGGATAGTATACAATCACAGGATAATATTTTGATGCATTCTTTTCATATTTAAAAATTTAAGTTAAATCATGCAAAAATATAACAAATTAGACTTGTAAATCTTAAGATGAAATCTAATAATTTATAAAAAGCGGGTAGAATATTTATTAATTATTTTAGAATTAATTTAGATTTATTTGTAAAAGGATCAAGACTTAGATAATAATTTAATCTTTCATCTCCTATAGAAGCATATCCTACTAATATCTTTTGGAAATTAGTGCTTGGAATGTCAAACAATGAAGATATTTTTATTATGCCATTTTCAATGGATTTAAGTAATATATATATCAATTATAAGAAAGTAATTCAATATTTTATGATTTAATGAATATAAAATTGGAAGAAACATTATTCTAAACTACTACTTTTCATAAATAAGAAAGAAGATTAGAACCAATAGAATTTATAGAAGGATCCACATTATGTTCTTTTTATATAAGATCATCACCTGACAATTAATATTATTTTATAACTCAATCAGACCTCTTTACTATTTTTAGTTCTTCATTATCTGAAGCTACAGCTCTAGCAGTAGCCATAATGAGTTTTCTGAAGATCTTTTATCATAGTTATAATCAACACAAAACATTTGCAGTTCTTATGAATTCTGTCTTTAAATTTGATTTAGAAAGTGTAAAAAAAAAGAGATAATCTTCAATTTATTAATCAGAATAATCAGGGACTGTATTTTAATAAAGAACTTCAACTACTCCAATTAAATCAGGATAATTATAACAAGTATAAGTATAATTATAATTTAGATATTAAATTTTGAAATATCCTATTCATTTATTTAATACATAAAGTATTTAATTTACAAATGGTTCAGATCAATATAACGTTAAAATTTCTTTAAAACAGAAAAAGAGATCATTATATCTTAAATTGCAAAATCAAAAATTTAATATGATTTAGATCTAACTAATATTCTTAAGAAACTTTATGAAATTGACTGTTTAAAATTATTCTTTTTTGATGATGATTAATTAGTGTTATTTAATACATTCTGTTCTCCTGTTTTTTAAGATGGAATGGCTAATTAAAAAGATTTATTTGATATTCTGACAAATTAATAATAATAATAAAAGAAACTATTATCTAATTCATAATTATCTGAAAAAGATAAAAGATTAGATTTAACTTTTGTTGCTAGTTCAGAGAGTATATATTTAAATACAATTTTTAGTACCAATAAATGTTCGTTTAGCAAAAGTAGCTAGATTTTTTAAAGCTTAACTAGGAGCTTCAAATGCAGAAGGATTAGTTAGAACCTTTTAAAGAATTAATGAGAATTTAAATCAAAATTCATCATTGAATTAAAAATTATTAAGCTTTACAAAATAGAATTCTAGTCTATTTCGTTTGGTTTAGAGTCAATATGAGAGTATTTAACAAAAGCAACCATAAAATCAAATTCCAGATGAAATTAATAGTTAAGATAAATAAAATTCAGGTGGAAAAGATTCAGCTTGGAGTATGGAAGTTTAAAGTTATTAATTGGAGAGTGAAAAACGATAAAAAGTAATTGAAATATCAAATTAATAATTGGATTGAAATAAGTATCAAAATTTAATTATTATTGATTTAATTTTAGTTATGTTTAAGATTAATTAAAATATTTTCGATTGGTTATCAAGTATAAATTAAATAGTTAGTAACATATAACATATAATCATATAAATATATCTAAATGAAAATATCATTTAATTGTGATTGAGATTCTTTCAATATTTCATTAAACAAAATTCTTGAATTAAATATATATATAGTATATTTAATATGGAGTTTTAGTTAATCTCATTGATGACTGATGAAATTCCCTTTTTAATTATTTAACGATCAAATATAAAATTATGTTCTAAACAACCAGCAGCATTAATTCTTAACAATCTCCAAATAGATTTAAGTTTAAATCCAAAGTGAGGTACCTTATTAGTATAGATTTAGTTTTTTTAATGACACTATGGTGCCAGCAATGACTACAAAAATTACTTTGCAATACAAGGAATTTTTAAGAAATTTGATATCCTGTATACAAGAGAAGGTCTCTTTTGTGAATTTTGCTGATTTTGATTAACTGAAATCATAAGAAATAGCAGTTTCGATATAGAGTTGTTATAATCCAAAATTTAAGAGTACAGGTGTAGATGAAACAAAGGAAGCATTTTAAGACTTATTGGATGAGATAAAACAAACTATAAATAGAAAGTAAAATTTTAATGTATATTTTATAGGTATCCATTCATAAAAGTATTTCGATAACAAATAAGTCATCCTGATCACTACTTATAAATTCAATTGTATCAACCTGAAGTGCATTCAGTTGTATTGTATTCTAGGTAATTTTCAAAAGAGCAAATCACTCCTAAATTGATAGCTGATTTAGTATGGCTCCATCTTAGAAAATTTAATTTAACAATCAATGTTGATTGTCCAATCAAGAATGTAGTTCCTGTTTGTGAAGAGGGAATGTAAAAAAACATTTTAGAGGGACTTTAAGTAACTGTCCGTTAGAGAGAAGCTCCATCATTATAATCAGCATAAACTCCTACAAAATAAATTATTATAAGAACTTCATTTTGTTAATAAGGAAGTGCTTAAAAAAGTGCATCTAAATTAGATATTTATAAAAGTACAGAAAATATAAGAGATATAGAAAAATCAGTAAGAGTTTATTTTTCACCTACTAAATCTTAAGCATGGATGACATAAACTAATATCTCTTAGATTGATCTTTCAGGATAAAAATAGAGAGCATAATCCCCTGAGAAAAAATTTACTGTTAAATTGTTTAGTTAAACAATTCCAATTAGTTGTTTTGATGAAGCAAAATTTATTGATTTAGTTTAATAAGTCAATGCATATGAAATAGAAATTACTGGAAATTGTATTCAAACAACTAAAACTCAATTAAATGTTGATGAACTTATTGATGATAATACAAATATGGTGTATGTTTCAACAAGAGTAGAAAGAAATGATGTGATCAAATGCATTGTTAAAGCTCCTGAAGATTCTACTGTTAATATCACTAAGAATATTACTGAAACTTTAAATTTTGATATTAATGAATAAGCTTTTATATTTTATGGAAGAGATAAATAAGAATATATTATTGATGTAAGTAAAAAAGATTGTTTTTCTTAAAAAAGAACAGTATTTTTATAAGGTAATAATGATGTGAAAATTGAATTTGATTTAGTTAGTTGTGTTGAAACTACTTTGTAATTTAGAGCTTATAATATTCTCTTAAAAAGTGGATAACATAAAGATATTGAAAATTGTAGACTTGAAATATTTTAATCAGATTAAGCAGATCAAGAACCTCTTATTGGTATTACTAATGAATAAGGATTATATAGTTGTCCAGGATTAATGTTTAAATAAGTTAGAGTTCATGCATAAAGAAAAGGTTTTTTGTAAGTATCATATGATTTTGATGTGCTTGCTAATTCTACAGGATAGATTCTCAATATACCTATGATTCCAGATTATTATAGTCTTATTAATCAATATCATATTTTAATATATGTTCCAAATAAAAATAACTTTTAAATAGATTTTGCACTTGTTTGTCCAGGTATTTAATTAACTTTATTATTTAAGATGGTACAAAGATAGATTCTAAAAATAGATAACATAATGTGATGAAATCAAAATTAGAAATAAATAGAATTAATTAATAAACAATGTTATGGAATTTTTCTGTTCATGTTTAATCATTAAATCCATTTTTACCTGATAATTGTTTTTAATTCTTCATAAATAATTAAAAACCAAAACGTACTCTACTTTGTTAAGAACCATTATCTCCTTAATGCAAGGAAAATGGAGTAAGTAGTGCTGCAAAAGTATCATGTTTTAAAACAGTAAATTTAAATGAAATGTTCTTAAAAACTAGAGTTATGTAAACAGAAATTAAAACATTTGTGAGATAGGAGAGTGATGTTATAGCATAAAAGATTAATAATTATTGTGCAGAAGAATCTGTTAGAATATTTGTTACATTTGGACATAAAGTATTGGAGACATTCATGATTTAGAGTAATTTGTTAATGCATAATGAAAAATGCTTTGGTGTTATTGATTGTAAATTTTTCATATTAATTATTTAAGTGGATAAGAGAATGTTTATAAGAGATAATGAAGTGAGTCAACAAAATATTAAAAGAAATCTTTCAAAAATGCCTACATTTAAAAAAGATTTAAAAGGAGGAAATGAAGATAGAACTATGACTACTATTTTATCCCATATAACAAATCAAAGATTTTTAGAATGAGATATATATTATATATTTACTATTAATATATTTGAATATTTTTATATCAATCACTTGATCGTGAATGAGAACTCGAGGAACTCTTTCTCCTTTTTTTCTTCGACTTTTTCTTTTCACTACTGGAGGAAGAGCTAGAAGATCGATGCTTTGGATGTTTTTTTTTCTTTTTTGAATGGCGCCTAATGTCACATTTTCTTATACCTGGAGTCAGAGTAAGATCGTCGATTCAAACGACAATTTCGAGCACTATAATGAATTATATTTATAAATACAAATGCCCCTATTTTCCACATTAATAACATGCACCATCTTTTTTCTTTGCTCTTGCTAACTCGACAATTAGATTTCTTCCATTGAAGTCTTGCATATTCATTAATCTAACTGCATCTGATGCGTCCTCAGGCTTGGCATAAGCCTGTACCCTAAATGCCAAACGGTCCATGTCTTACGATGAAACAAAATCGCCCTTTCCAAGAAAATTCTTGAATTTCTCCATGTCTAGCAAATGCATTCTTGATTTCCATTTCAGATTCTTTAGCAGAGTATCCTGTCACATAAATTCGATTGGCTTCCTCTTTTTTATGCGATCCTGAATCTGATGACATATTTTTTTTAAATTATTTAATTTAATGAATGATAGTTAGTACACAATACTCAAATAGAAGCATTTTATAAAAATATACATAAGGTATAATTTAATAAATAGAATTCCTTTAATTCAAAAAGAATATTAAATTAAATGTCTTCTTTTCTATTGTATTTAAAGCAAATGATATCAAGTATTTCTTAGCTGATATAGAATTAGTTATATAAAATGATTTAGATATACGAGTGTATTTCATTCTTGAACATTAATCTAAATACCTGTTCAGAATGTATCAGAGGTAATTATTTAATTTAATGTTCTTTTCACATTTAACACCACATACAGTGGCATCACTTTAAGGCACAACTATTTAGTAGCTTAATCCAGCAAAAGACTCCAGTGGTTTAGCAATGGCGAATGTATGCTTCAGCGAAGGCGTTCATTATTGGGAAATCGTATGCCCTTTTAATACAGATGGAGTGAAAGTAAGGCGTAGTCCTAATTGCAGATTGGCATATCCAAATAGTAATCTCCAAGCGAAAATTTTGAGGGACACCTATTTGAATTTAAAACGACAACACAGAGAGTGGTGGGTGTGCTTCTTAATTTCAACGAGCAATCACTTTAATTCTACTTGAATGGCAATTTGAGCACTAATAAAGGTATACCAAAGGGCAGTCTGGGTTAAGGTCCTTGGTACCCTTGTGTTAGACTATCGCAATTTGGAAATTCGATTTATTTGACAATGAAGTATGAAGATCGCAGTTTAGTAGAGCATTTTGAATAAGTTTAGCTAGAGACTTAATAAATATAGCATCCGAATCCCTTCTTTTTGATAAATAAGTATCAATAATATTGTATAAATAGAAATGAAATTCATCAATTGGAAGATCGATTAGTGTCAGTTCGAAATTGTCCTTTGGTGGGATAACAAATTCCTAAGGCAGAATTAGATGTACTTATAAAGATGAAGTTGGTTATGTGTAATTATCATGGAGACAATGAGATTGTATATTTAATTTTGAATGAAGAAACATCCAAAAAACTTAAAAGGATAAGACAGTATTTAAAACATCATGAGAGAAAGTTGAAGGAGAAATTTGAGAGCAAACCTTAAGAGAAAGAAAAAGATTAATTATTGCAAGAAATCACATAAATGTTACCAAATAATGAAGAAATTGTTTAAGAAGAAAAAAAAGATGAATTTTAATTTAAATATTCAATAGAACAATGTAGAATAGCAGAGAGAATTATAATATAATTAATTGAATAATTTGAAGAGGTGAGAAATATTGAATCTGCAAAAATGAGATTGTTAACATTTGCAGATCATCCTGCTACTGAAAATCCTTTTTAAGTAGTTGAATATGGAAAATATTTATAACCAGGATCAGGAGCTAAATATGCATATTGTGATGATGAAATCAATAAAAATGGAACCAAATATTCAAAATTAATATTAAGAAGTGAGATAACAGTTTAAGGTTAAAGAATACCATGTAAAAGTGATCGCTATTTCTCTTTAAGAAATCAAGATTAAATAACAATTTATAATGGAGAAGCAGAACTATTTAAAGTTATTGATGTAAATTTAAGAGAATTAGGACCTTATTAAAAAAATAAAAAGAAAATAGATATTTAATCAGAAGAAACACCAAGTCACATTTATAAAATATTAGAAAATTATA